CCCCCCCCCCCCCCGTTGTGTAGTCGGAGCACGTACACCGAGGAAAGCTGGAAAAAAGCACTTGACATGAAAAATTGCATTTCCTGATCACGTAGGACTTTCCCACTTTCTTCGATGTCCCACCATCGACTCCCCTACCACTAACCCACCACTACCACCAACCCATATTTTCCCTTTCGCCGTGTGTATGTATAGTTATTCACGGCGTGTGCTCGCGCGCGCACGCTCTTTTCGAGTAACTGTTTATATACATACGTATGTGTATACATATATACAATCCCCCTCGTATTACACTAATCCAACTATCGGAACACCGCGTAAATCCGTACCGTATTTTCTCGTTTAGTAGACGGTGGTGTTAGGGGTTCCCCTAATATTCGTTGGGAATAATGAACACACGCGCGGTCTGTATGATCATTCCGGATTCTTGCCGTTTTTATAAGTGGCATCGGATATATTGCCCTTCATCATTGAAAATATTGGATGTAGTTAGGAAAAAAGGGGGTACACTTTATTCGATTTCGATGAAACTTGGTGAAATTGCGTCGGATACTTCCAAATGAACGTTATGTTTAAAGGTTTATCGGGGCGTTTGAACATTTTTTCATAATAAAATAATTTTCCGTATGATTGTTCATGTTGATCGGACCTAGATTTCTGTATCTAAGGTCATTTCAAGGTCATACTAGATACTAGGTCGTTGAAATTGTGTTGACATCACCTACAACGGTACAAGTTAATCACAAAATTATCTCTCCTTCTCTGTCTGTCACGACCTGAAATTATCCAAACAGTGTACGCAAGAATGTATATTTCCCACGTAGTCCAAATCCCTCATCGGGTGGATCCTTTTATGACGCACAATTTAGAGCGGCTTCTTAACATTCTGGGTTCCGTGGCCCTCCCTTTTTGCTACCTCTTTCTTTTTCCTTCTTTTTTCCCCGCATGAAATTCTTGGTGCCTCTTCCCCGTGGCTTCCCTCCGCGGCTGGGCTTCTCCAGGCCCCGGGATTGGTCGTGTTATTGGGTATCGAATTCTCTGCAACATGGACGATGGACGCCGCGGACAGAAGAGAGCGGTGGTGGTGGGTCAGCTCCTCTCGATTCTTGGAAATAATGAATGCTGCTTCTGTTGAAAATCTCCAAGGGCCACCACACTTCGTTCAATTTTTACTCTCCCCCCTCTTGTAATACGGCTACTGTTTTACTCCCACCCTCTTGAGCGTCGATGAGACGGAAAACACAGTCGTCTTCAAATATGTACCTCGATCCTTTAATCCAGCACAATCGAAACCATTGAACGGTTTACCGAACAAAAAATTAAATGGAAGATACAACATAACCTAACTTAGTCGAACACTTGGCTCCACGGGTGGGTGTATAGTCACACTGCGTATAGTATATTTTGTAAGATGAAATGTGAGCCTATGGCCTATGCGGCAAAAATCACTCTCAGCCCAATGTGCATAGGATAATCACATTATATTCTTGCTGGTAGTACAGTTTTATAACTGTACCACCCAGTTACCGAGTGACATCAATCACTGTCAAGATTGCCATACGTAGGTACCAACAGAGCTGTCGAACAATCCCAGAGTGTGACTCTAAAATGATTACAGTGGACTCTTGATATATTGCTGGGCGTATAGGCACCGTTCAAAGAAATGACCTCAAACCAATGAATTGTGTAGAGATCAGCGGTCTTATAGCAAGCTGCAATATATCAAGAGTCCACTGTATTAGGTAATAGAATCGTTACAAGATTAAGGGCTCTGTTGTCCTCGTGAATCGCCTGAAAATATTCATCTTTGATATGTTTTTTTTTTGCTCCAGGGCCAAGCAGTAGTTCAACTGGCCAAAACGGTGAACGACGTGACGATATTCGGAGTTTGCAGCAAATCGAAACACGAGGCCCTGAAAGCAGTCGGCACGATCGATCATTTCTGGATCCTCCAACATTTTTGTTACACCCTGTATATATATGTATATATAAATCGGATCCGTCGTCGTTGTCCTAAGGATTGCTTACTTATTTTCGATTCTATCGACAGGATCTCCCCGGAGGGCGTAGACATAGTTCTCGATTGCCTGTGCGGCGAGGAATGCAACAAGGGATACGCGTTGCTGAAACCCATGGGGAAATACATCCTTTACGGGTCTAGCAACGTGGTCACCGGAGAAATGAAGAGCTTCTTCTCAGCGGCACGATCAGTACGTGATTACGACCAGCCTTTCAGTTGACCCCTCATAAAAAGATTTATCTTTCTTGGATAGTCCATACACACGTTTGATATTCGAATCTTGTGTTTAGTCCTGCTGTGGTGTGTTCGTCGCTTCAGTTACACATTTGAAATAATGGATGAGAAATGTCGGTATCTTTTTCTACCGATTACGTTCGGTTACACTTTATAAGTGAACATATTTATTCACTAAATTAAATTACAGCTCTCTATATTGTTTACTGCAAAAAATTCCGGTATTTCGTTTGCACATCTCTTTCCGTAATAATGAAAATATTTTTGACGAAACGGGAACGCGATTTTACATTGAAGAGTAACGCGGCTCATAGTAGAGTATCAGACTAAAGAAAAAACGTGAAAACACGCTTAGATTAAAGATCCAAAGACGGTCATAGATGGTTAAAGTTGATTTTTATATTAATCTATACGAGTAAATATATGTACAGAGAAATACTTCGTGAAATGGATTGTTCATTTAAGGATGACCTGTGAAGAGAGCAGATTTCAGTATTATATCAACAATGATCGTTTTTACAGTGGTGGCAAGTGGACAAAGTGTCCCCCATAAAGCTCTTCGAGGAGAACAAAACGCTGTCCGGTCTGAATCTCCGTCACCTGATGTACAAGCACGGCAGTCACGATTACGTGCGGCAGTCGGTGGAACGGGTGTTCGATTTGTGGAGCGAAGGTAAGATAAAGCCGGTAATAGATTCGACGTGGGCGTTGGAGGACGTGCCGGAAGCCATGCAAAAGATGCACGACCGCAAGAACATCGGCAAGATCGTGCTGGACCCGAGTCTGGAGCCAAAACCGAAACCGGCGACGCCCGCCAAGGGTAAAGCGAAAGATAAGAAGGCGGCCAGTCAGGAGGAGAAGAAAGCGTCGAGCGTAGAATCGGAGGATGGCGAGAAGAAGAAAGAGCCGGAATTGACAAACGGAACGTCCGAAGACAAATCCGATAGCGGTAAATAACATGAACAGAATTCTTGTTTTGGTATCGTTCCTTCTGACCCTGTACCGGGAGTTAACACATTCAGGATGGCAACACGATTTCCCAATGTCAATAAGCTGTCGTCAATGCTTGTTACGGTATAAAGTGTATACAGACATAGAGGATAATATATTTCCCTTTATCCTTAACCCCGTTGCTTTATGACAATCAGACACGTGATGACGATTTCAAACTGGATTTAATAAACATGTGTGCTATTCATTTTCTTTGAGTCAAAGTGAAATTATTTTTATTTGTATTAATATTTCAGATTTTGTGCAAATGTTACACTTGCCCTGAGAATAAAATCCCTTTTGTATTTGGGACATTATTAACGATAAAGTAATTCTTGAGCGTACAGTAAAAAAAATCGTAAGGCAAGGGGTTAAGATGAGTGCATCACACGTTTCTGAAGGTTCTCTATAGTTTATCACCAAAAACCCTTTCATAATTCGTTAGCATTATACTATCGTATTTTATGGGAAGTATCCTGAATGTGTTCTGAGGTATTCGATATTTTTTATATCATCTTATGCTCTTTCTGATTGATCAATCGTCTATTTATTTTTAGATTCGAAAGAAAAAGAATCGAGCTGAATTAGCGGCGCTGGCTATTTCTATTATACGTATATATGTATACATATATATATAAGAAAAAGCAAAAATGATATCCTACGAAGATCTAGAATTTCCAGATACGTGCTACTTCATTATTAAGAGGTCATCTACAGCTTGTTGCTGCGCGAAGAACTTGATGAGAACATTTTTTTGATCTAACTACTGATTGAGCAACGACCTCCGCGCAAAGCCGTGTGCCAGATGATGGCGACTTTTCAAGTTCTTCGAAACTAAAAAGATAACAGAAGAATCCAGCAAAAAACAAGAATTTGCCTGGATTTCATCGAAGAGAAATGTAGTTAGCTCTCAGTCGTTTGAGTCTGTAAAACGGACTCTTTTCGCCGAAATCATCTGAATGGCTCTGTTCTCCTCCCGTCTGTTTTTTTTCCCCTGAGATCGACATCCAAATACAAATATCAATTTCGACGCGGTCCACAGTAGTTTGCAGAATATAAAAGAACTATTATTTTTATTTTTTCACACTGACCAAAACGAATTGATTTCGCGTAAGAAGAAAAAAAAATACTTGTTGGACGCCCAGACTCGTTGGACAGGTCTGAGGAAAACAAGGATTGCTCTTTTTTCTAACGTGTCTTTTGAATGCTTTTCACACCACTGAATTATTCGTACTTATCAGAAACATTTAGGAGCGAAAACAAAAAACAAATACTTCAAAAGACCGCCCAACGAATCTGAGCCGACCAGCGAATTGCTACTTTATCTACTCGCATCGACTACTATTCTACTGCGATACATATATATGCAGCAACATTTTACACTACTATAATAGTACCATTTACTGTAATTTAATAGAGTATGGTAATCTAATTGAGCTTCGACGGTGGGAATCGCGTAAAATCATACCTGTACCCATCCCGTGGAGCTGAAAAGAAGCGATTGTGTATTACTTTTTTTTATGTATGCCTAACTTCTTTTTTTATTCTATTTTTTAACCATAAAACGTGTTTTTACTCCGATATTTTATTATCAGAATATTGTCGCGAGACGATGAATTTATAGCTTGATAGTTTTAACGATAATCTCAGTATAAGAATTCACTGTGGTATTTTAAATATATTCGTTTTTAAATTTTATGAAATCGATGAAAGCACAAAAATATAACTGCCCGCTCCGCTGACGCAACAATTGGCGGTCATTTTAAACGTGAAAGATGTCGATAACTTTTGCAACGATATTTATCAACGATATATGTATATCTCTGTTACCGGTAACTTAATTTTTTTAATTGCTGAATATCTGATGAAGTCTTTGATTTTACAGTTTAGTTAATTTTTTCTTCCTCCCTTCGATGAAGATTCATTCAGATTATCATATATGTGTATAATCATAAATTGTGTTTTCAGAGTCACCCTAAATTAAAAAGATCTCCGTTGTTAACGTTGTAACGTATATTTTTAACAGTGAAAAAAGTTCAGTGCCGCTCAGTTTCATTGAAGCCGAATATCGATATTTTTAAAACATAAGGGGGAAGCCGTTTTGTAATCGACTTTTCTAATCTATAATCTATTGACGAATGGAGATTTTGAACGATTGCATGTGAGAGAGAGAGAAAAAGAGAGGGTACACGAGATAGCGCAATTGGTTTGTTGAATCGAAACGAACGAATGTTCAAATGGTGTCTAGAGAAGCAAAGCTTGAAGTCTGGGTGTGTCTCATCGTCGATACGCTGAGAACGCCTCGAGGTTCTGTCTCGAACGACGAAAATATTAAAGGGAAAAATGAAATAAACGAAAAGAAAAAAAATGGCTCCGGAAAAGAGCGCGTTGATTGATGCAGAGTAAAATGCATATCTCCCCGAAACGGTTGGAACAATGTTTATGTAGCTCGATTTTGTTAGAGTTTGATACTAGCTCTGTATACCGATAATATCTATATTATAAAAGGTCACTATTAAACGAGAGAAGTTGCGGACGAGGGGGATCTATACATATTATATATATAAATATAAATAAATGAAAAAAAAAATAATAAATGATTAAATAATTAAAGTGATCGGCGACGCTCGTTCCTCCGCGGCTCGTCGTTGTCGACGCGATGAAAAAAATGTGTGAGAACTGCAAGAATTATTGACTATTACTATTACTGCCGTATCGAATCTCTCAGTCCAAACGGGTACGTAAAGTACTCGTGTAACTCATCAAGATCATATATATCAGTCTGCATAAACAGAAATGGAGAGAGAGTAGATAAAAGAGAGAAAAGAATAGATGAGAAAAAACTCGCGGAGAAAAAAAATGGTTGAATGTGGATCTGCATATTTTAAGACATCTTTTGAATACTTGTGCAAGAGAGTACTGAGCTGAGGTAAAGAGGTTAAGGTTGAAACGCGACAGTAATAACCTCCACGCGAGAGAATATAGTACACACTTTTATTCACATACGTGCGATGATACACATCATACTGTATATTTTATGTAAGGCTTTAAATGTTTCATCAAATAACTCTATTATATTATAATATATCTATATATTTGTATCGATCGTTTTCCCTATCCTGGTCATTCGTTCAGGTCCGGCATTATATCAGCGTCCCAGTGGTATCTGTCTGTAATTAATGCCCGGCGTGTTCGAGGGTTTTGTAGCATTTTTCGAATTAGTTCTGGCCGCTGGTATCGCCATCTAGGATGACCGTTACTGTTTCGAATTGTTATCCTCGTGTGTTACATGCAGAGTTTTTGTGTTATTATTGTGAAATATTCTTCTTGAAAATGAATGGCTAAGAGGGAAAGCTTTCCTACGGAGAATTTCTTAACATTTTATGTTGTTATAAATAGGAGACAGTAGTTTTAACAGAGAAAATATTTTGTCTTGTTCTGTTTCTGTGGCCAGTAATAATTGGCTTTCTGAATGATACACCAGTCATTTACAAGAAAAATTATAATAATATAAAGACTCTCGAAACATATTGTTTTAAAGATCAGTCACAGTGTGTCACATACTATGACAATGGAAACAGGTAACTTACCCGTGAACATTATTGTTGTGAAATGTCATGTAATCCGGGGCCAGCAGACCATTACACTTATTCAATTCCCGCTAACCGGGTCTTAATTACAGATTTCTTTTTAAAATCTTTATCCTTAAATCTTGCTCAGAGTTATTCTTGCACCGTTTCATGTACTCACTGTAGCTTTGTGGAACTTCACCGTTTGCTGTCTGCCTTTGGAAACCAAGAAGGCTGAAGAATTTCAATAGTTATTCACCCAATCACTTAGAGGCACAATCCAAACGAGATCACAAGCGGTCGAGTTCCAGGGACCAGTTAATTTTCTTGTAATACAACTTTTTTGTACGTTTAGTTCAGAAATGTGCACTCGGATCGAACCGATATATATTAGAATACAGACGTGTAGGATTATTTTGCAATTGTCTTGTGGGAAAACTGCCGTGAATAACTTATTTTTCGGCTTGCTGATAATTAATATTCAATACATTTATATTACAAATTAACCGAGGATAAGTGGGTAGAAAACGGTTAATGACACATTTCTGGTGCTTTTTCGTAAATTACAATTATTTAGACACGATCCAGCAAATGGTTCGACGACTACAAGTAGGACCAATAATATCATTCCGTTATTCTTCCCTCTCATAAGTTACTTTTTTTCTGTTGAACGAAATCTGCATCGTGGGAGAACAGGACGTACAGTTTCGCAACGTGATACATCATATAATTATGTGTAAAATTGTAAAATTCGTCCCGGGGTCCGGGCGAAAGGCCATCTGTTTTCTTTGACCTACGTATGATTCTTCTAATCCCCCGAACGGGTGCTCGTGAAAGAAAACAAAAAACATTTTTCGCCCGCTCTCCGGAAGCTCGATATATAGATTGTATTTTTGGCTTATTATTGTAAGACTGACTATGTTGCTATATTAAAGATTGCTTCGAAAATAACATGATTCGGAATTAATCGTTTCAGGGTTTTGCATTCGTGACTTTTTCTTACAGCCCTTTTAGGAAGTGCAATGAACCTGACATGCACACCCCCAGTCAGCCAAACTTGCAAAGCCAAATTTTGTCCAGTGCCTGGTATAAGGTTATGGTTACAAGTTTGATGCAAGATTTGCTATAAACAACTTCGTGCACATTGGCAGCAAATTGACAGCAATTTTACTCGCGCAGACTCTGTTTCATTTTTGCCCTCAATTTGACACAGGTTATGTTGCCAATTTGCTTTACCATTTTGTTAACAGGCGTTGCCTGAAAAACCCACGCCAAATGTAGAAACAGATGGCTATGGTTTTTTTTTAGACAACTTTTATCATTATTTGCTCGAAACTTGCACACAACTAGTTATCAGGGACAAGATGATGGAAAAAAAGTATGGGTACAAGAAAAACTTGTAATTCTTCCAAAGTTGGTAATTAAACGAAACGAGGCGGGTCAAGTATTTGTTTTATTTTGTTTTACTCGTATAAAGGTTATAAAACTTAAAAATATATTCAACACACGTTAAATGCTGCTCTCTCCATCTCTTTCTCTCTTTACTAGTTTAAATATATTTTCGGACGGATCGTACGAGCGAGACACAGCTCTTTACAATGATTTAAGTTTAAGGATAATTTAACATGCAAATAGATACGTTGCCTTTGAATAAAAGTTTATCCATAATTGATAGACAGATCGTTTTGAAAAAGAAGACAAAAAACATCGTCGCTATGCGTATTCGCAAACAAACTATTTGTTAATAGTAAATGATACTATTTATTGTAAAGCAGACTTCTTCATGGACGGTATTATTAACGTTATGTGTACTATGATATTAGTTGCACCAATGAACAAACAACTTTATGTTGACTGCCAAGATTTGACGTTTAAACAAGTAGCGTGTATACAATCCTGTAAACACGATTACCAGTAGTACACAAGTCAAGACACAGATACACTTGTATTCTTAACAGCAAAATCTTAAATGGGTGTATTTTCTCACGATTTTATCTCAATTTATAAAAATCTGGACAGTCAACATTTTGAACAAATGATTATTTATCAGTACAACTTCTGAAGGCATGCAACAAAATATTTTGTTTAACCCTTTTCGAAGATAATGAAACGTTAATTAACGACTACTAATTAACGATAAATATTTGAATATAAGTATCCAAATACGTCGCAAACCTTCAAAATACCAGTCCACATAACACTCTACTTACGAGTTAATGTTATAATAAGTGCTAAAATACTAAAAATAGATCTTTGATGTTCGAACAGGCAAAAATAACTATACAAAAGAATATTAATTCTCTTTTTTCGAGGCAAACATAACCGAACGAATGCCTCTCTAGGGAAATACATACGGTAAAACGTCGTTAATTGTTCAGAGTTCCATCTAACCTACTATTTACAGATTGCCGACCAATAGCAACATTTCTTAATCGGAATGTATCTTTTGATTCATAAACTGACAGTGTCCGAGGAATATCATGAAGGCACGATTTACAAACAATTGGATTTTGTCATGTTACAAATAGAACCGACACAAATCGAGTCTTTTGAAATGAGAAAATGTACAGCTCTATCGTTTCTCCAATGTCCAATAAATTCCGACAGAATTAAAATTGCATATATTGAGGAGAACAAAGTTAAATGAATATTAATAAAAGAAACTTATCGTGGATAAAAAAGAAGTATTTTTACACTCGTGTCTCTTATCATAAACATACTGAACATACAATACTTTCTTTACCCACTGTATATGTTAGGTGTATAATCATTAGCAATAATTATTGTTTCAAAAAATGAATTATTAATTTCCTCAACTAGATAGCAACTAGATCTTTTATTTATTCTAGAAAGCAATAAAAAATTAACATTACAATGGTAATGTTGTTTTAAATTTTGCCTAACCTTCAGAACAATCAATCAAATTTACAATAGTTTTCACTACATTTTGTAAGAACATACGCAACCAGATAAATGGTTACTAACCTTAGTATCTTTCTGGTTGAGTGAAGCCTAAATTATTGCTAAAGACTATACATTGTCACATTTTAAAATTTTGAAAATGTGAGTTGTCAATGTACTTTAAAATGAAACTAAACACGAGTTATCACAAAATTGTTTCTGTTAATTCGAATGGTATTTTTATTTGTTGCTTCTAAGAGGAGTTAATAAGAGTTTTCTTTTTTTTTGGTGTGACAAGCTTACGAGAAATCTCGATCTCGACTAAAGTTTCATTTGTACTTCAGATTCCTTGCCTCCTGGGACACAACACGCTGCTCGAACTACACGACCGGTTCACGATCGTAAAAACGGCGAAAAACGTTCGAATAAATCCGTATATCCATTGACTAACAACATTAAATTACAATAAAATATCGAATATTTTAGTTAAAGGTGTATAAAAAATATGCGTTCCAAACCCGGCGGGTCTCGAAATTCTACGTTTTGTGCGCTAAATATAAAATTTTTCGATATACAATATAACAAATAGTAAATGGACGGTAGAAAAGTATTCCCTTGTCGTAACTAGGCCGATGAAACGCTTTAAAGATAAGTGTAGCTGAAACCTTCAAAAATCTCTTAACACATACATCTGAATTTTATACAGATACCAGTTCCAGCTTTGCACCAAAGTACTTCGTTTACGATCTAGAAATCATTTGTTTCGCCTAATGATAATGATAATCGTCATATTTTTTTTAAACATATATATGTATATATGTATATGCGTGGACGGCATTGTAGAAAAAAAAAAGAAAGAGAAGAAACATGGCAATGACGAGTAAGACATAAGGCGCGAAATTTTAAATTGTTTACCGTTAAATGTCGTAACTAACCCACGCTGAACTCCTGTGTTCGAAAGTATCTCGTCGCGACGAGCACTAGACACATAACCAGCACGAAACCAGTCGGCGTGGCTAACAATGCGGCAGTGTTGTAAATTGGACAATACGGACATTGGGAGCTGCCGCAAACTTCACAAATGTTCAATGTGTACGTCGGCAAAGCATCGAATATCGTTTCGTTGAAACGTTCTGAAAACGAATATATCGATTTTATCGTACTTATTTTGTCATACCTATCGCCTAATTGCAAAACACCGATACGTACCTGGGGCATAGTAATCGTAAACTCTGATAGGATGATACCGCGACATATTCGCGACCGGAAACCATCTCTCTATGGTAAAGTTTACACAGGTTTCCTCTTGATCCAGATAATCGAAGTAGAAAAGAACCTTCCGTTCGAGGAACCTCGCTCTCTGAAGGTTTCTCACTTGTCTCGAGAGAATGTATTTATCCAAGTTTTGTTGCTGGATTATATAACCCGTTGGTATGGCTACATCCAGAACCGCCATTCCAGAGCGTAATGATTCATTTATGTTTGTCCACCTGTGTGAATCGATACACGTACACATTAGAAACGGGAATACAGAAAACACCAGTAAACACCTCTGCGGAGAAATGCTATATACCTTTGACAACTAAGGTACGATATGTGAGACTGATTTCTGCCATGGAAGTTCGCTCTGGTGACTAAATCAAACGATCTGACCGGCGGCTGGGTCTGAAATTTGGGAATGTCCACGTTGTACTGCACCGACATTTGCAGGATAGCGTAACCGGCACCTTTGGCTTGAACTTTCACTGTTCCCCATGCTTCTGGTATCTAACGAAATAGAAACAAGTAAAATTAGTATTCACGGTATTGCAACGATTCGTCTTCGATCGAACATTAACCCTCATCCGTCCATCATTTTCCAAACTTAATTGGTACCTCTGTGTCGAGAGGTGACCCCTCGGCATTGTAGGATGGAGGAGGCGGAACGGATTAACAGCTGTCCCTGGGGGGGGGGAGCAGCAACACTCCCCCTACTGAGGAGAGCCCCGCCCCTGGATGGGCGGGGCCGGTCGCGGAAATGTGCTTCTGCGTTCCCGTGGCCGGCCCTCACGCCCGAGAGGGTCACCGAGGGGTTTTTAGTACGATAAAAATTCCACATAGGTCGTCTCCGCCCCCAATGGAGGCGGTACACCTTTTGAAGGTTTTTCCCCGAAAAAAAAAAAAAAAAAAGAATACGACGGATGAGGGTTAATTCATATTCGAGCCATCACAATTACCTCGATCGTTTGCAGCCTCGCCAGATTCTTGTCGTTAACGAACAACGTTTTCGTTTGTCCCGGGAGAGCGGTCGCTTCCACGGTGACGGTCAACGAGCTAACATCCCTGATCCTCGTTCGAACCGTGTAATCCATCAGAGCCTTCATCGCCCATGCAGTATCTTGCGTGGACGCCCATCCGCCGTCCGTTAACCTCTGAGCGTTCAGCCACTTGACTATAGGCTCGATCATGGTTTCCTGCCTGGCGACATGAACGAGCAGAGCGTACGCGGTTGTCTCGATATTCTCCGAGTCGTATTTGTACGGCAAACGCGGAAGCAGGAATGGTTTTTGATTCTCCAGCTTGTAAGGAGGCAGTGGCACCTGTTCTCTGCCCCAGTAAGTCAAGCCACCCTCTCTGCGCGCATGACTGGACAATATATTGTATGCCTGTCCCGCGGAAGAAGCTTTGGCAAGCAACAACGCGTACGCCACTATCGCTATTTCGTACGGTTTCCCGCGGTCCTCGACAAGCTTTAAATTCCTCTCCAACCATTTCACCGCGTTACCAGCGCTCACGGCGACCTGCGTTCCTAAGCCTTCCGGCAGATCTTTCACGCTTTGCAACGTGATCAGAACGTGGGCGGTCAGACTGATGTTACGATGCGTGATTATATCGTAGTTGTAGTTCAACGAACTGTTCATTTTCCGATCGGGCAGCCAGCTGATCTCGTAGAACGATCCGTCCGCCGTTTGGTGTTTCAATAACCACGTGACAGCCTGAGCGATCACCTCCGGATCGATGTACAAGTAATTCTCCCACTCATAGAAACGCGCCTCTTGCAGCACACGGGCGCAATACGCTGTTAGCCAAACGCTCGACGATGATTGGTTCCAATCGCTACGGAACAAACTGAACGATCCGTCCCGGTTCATGAACGACAGTTGTCGTTGATAACCTATATTCATGTAATAAAAGCTCTCCTTCTCTTGGGTACGGTTACGCTGGTTGATCAGCCGCATGTACAACGTTGTGTACAGATTCGCCGCGAAACTGAACATATTCTGTTCGGCGCTGTCCATGGGAAGATTTATGAGACTGGTGGCGTTGACAGGCATCGTTGGGAAAATCGGGCCTACCACGTCGCCGACTAAACTGATCACAGCCTTGTTCGAACCGAATACGTAGTAACGATTCTCGTCGTAGGATATGATCGGTGTCTCGGTGATATTCACGTGCATGTATTGGAACACGTAGGCACGGTTGCTGAGGTCGAGCAGAATCGACTGATGACGATACTGCGGCACACCGTCCGCCTCGACGCGTAGATTACGCGTGACCGAGTCACGGCCGATCACGGTGGTCGCGTAAATGTGTACTTTGATGTCCCCGAGTCGGACAGGCACGATTGGCAGATACACGATCGATGCGTCCTGCGCGGAGATCCAAATGAAGAACTGATGCTCGCCGAACGATGTACGGGGTTTGTACGACTGTACGATACCGTTGTCCTCCACGTGAACGAACTTGTAGTCCTTGGAACCGGCCAGAACGACCACCGCTTCGATATTGTGCCGCAGGTAATTGAACACCGAGACCCTTATACCGATCTGTTCGCCCTGCTTGCTGTGCGTCGGCATCTCCACGTTGATGTAGAACGGTAGAACTCCGACGTACTCGATTGCTTTCGGTAGCATACCAAAGCCCATGCTCGGCGACATACCGAACGCAGTGACCATCCAGTGAGCCGGTCGTCGCGGTACATCTATATTGAAGATATGCCGACCATGGGGGCCGATGTTAATGTCCTTCCACAACCACACGTTCTCGTACAATCTTTGGATCCGATTGTATCGCCACTTGCGAAATTGCGTTATGTCGGTGATATTCCGGTGTTCGCAGGCCGCCTCGTCGGTGCCGTCCTCGCAATCCGACACGCCGTCGCATTTCTTGTCGAGTCTGTAACATCGGCCCGACAGACATTCACCGTATCCCTGTGTTTCGTTACAATTGTCCGGTCTTCGGTAAACAAACGCATCCGTGAACACCACCAATCCTATATATTCGAACGTTCGATTAGCGTCCACGCCGAATGTCGAGGAGGGATAGTAGACAAGTACGTCTGGATCGCCGTCGTGGTACAGCCAAGTATGAGCATGAGTACCATTGGTTTGCTCGTCGAAATGCGACATCTCACTGATTACGTTCGAATAGGTTAACTCGTTTCCAGCTTGCATGGCGAAGAACGAACGATCCACACCGGACAGAGCGACATACGCTCCTGGTTCCCCGTAAATGGCCACTTCAACGTTCTCGCCGGTCCTCGCTTTTTTATTGTTTATGAACACAGTGAAATTGTTTCGAGAAATACCATTCACGGCGAACGTTAAGGAATCCGCTACCACGTTGGCGTACTGCCCGATGTGGTAGACCGCTATGGTCGCGACAGGTGCCATTTCCGCGCTCAGAGGTATGGCGAATGTTTTTATGTTGTGCTGCATGGCGTCCTGACCGGTCAAAAGAATTGTACCTTTGGCCATAACAATATAGTTAAAGGTGTCGATATAGAAGTTCGTTTGAACATGGAATATCATGTACTCCCCGACCTTCGGGTTTTCGGTGGACGTGGAAATCTTTATGTGTTGCTGATTCGGTGATTCATGGGCCAACAATAGTAATTCCGTTTGCGTTCGGAAACCTTCGCCGTCGGTAAAATAAGCATAGATCCTCATAGAGGAAATGTCATTCAGTGTCTGTTGGGCTTGCTCCGAATTGTGCTCCAGTCCAAGCTGCTTTCTCAGATCGATCTTTGTGGACCAAACACCTACGTTATCCGACGATGGCTTCAGGTATTGCGTTTCCATGGTCCTACGACCACCAGTTCTCATTTCGATATCCGCGCGTATTTCCATTACCGCTCCGTTTAACTGCGTTTTCCTCAGCTCGGAATTGTCATGGAAGGACGCCACTAGATTCACCGGAAACGGCATCGCCGGCTTAAAAACCTGCGGGGTACCACCTAAAAATCGGATCTTCGTGGTGGAATTGAAAATCCGAGCTGTAGAATATCCTGTAATTATTTCTTCCAGAAACCGCTCCCCAACAGTCGCGGTAATAGTAATTTCCACACCGCTAGAGGCGGGCACGAAGGTTAGTAACTCCGACATAGGATATCGAAAATGATACGTTCCATTGAAGAACCTCAGAACAGGAACCTTGTCGTCGTAGTAAGACAATACCTTTAACCACGACGGATAGTACTCGTCGAAGTAAAAATATCTTTCGGTAGCTTCGGAACCAGATTCCATGTGAATTTTATCCAACGATTTGAAGCTTGCTTTTAACGTCAAATTCCCGCGCACCGGGGCTCCACTGGTGTAATTTGCTTGAACAATGCCGTATATGTAAGGATCATTATCGAAAAAGAATGCTGGCATTGTGACGTTAACTTCAAAACGTGTCTGGTAGTATTCCTCCACCAAGAAAGTCTTCTCCTCCACTTGGCTCTGCGCGATCACCTGTATGATCCATTCACCAAAAACAGGCTGATCGGAGAGCTGATACGATAATGACACTGTGCCCAAATTACTCTGTCTGCTCAGCCAACGTCTCATTATTCTCCTATTCGGATCTAACATGTACACATCGACAGGATTATTAAATGCTTTCAGTTCAGTATTAATGGGTATAGTCCTGAACCTTACGGTTTCTCCCTGCATATACATAGGCTTATCCAATTGAATGAAGATGGTCAATGATCTTTGGGAGAACGTAAGTTTAGTTTCGTTCAGGAAGGCCTGACCACCAGTCAAACTGTTATATGTTCCTTCCAGTCTCAGATTGTATTCTCCTCCAACAGAAGTTGGTGGCATTCTTATCATCAAGGTCTCTGGAATGTTCTCTTTCACTTCTTGATGGTCTGCTCCAATCTCGACTCCATTTCTTTGGATCGATGCACGCACCATCATTGGTAATGGGCTGTGCAAGACATTCACAGCCAACCGGTAAATCTGACCTGGTCTGACCATTCGAGAGGCAACCACAAAATATGTACTGTAAACAAAAACTGTGTTTATTTATCGTTCAACTTTATATTTGGCAAGTACAATAAGAAGCAGCTTAATATAGAATTGATTGTTTTTAAACAATTTTTTATATTTGTACGACAAGAAGGTTTTGTGTAATCGCAAAACACTGAGCACAGTGCAACATGCAGTGTAGATTAACGTACACAAACTGTGCATTATAAGGTATACAAAAACTATCAAAATAATGTCATCTTGTTAACTATTTATATAATCGTTTTTACAACTCACGCTTCTTTTATTATAATACTGTCGATAGAATTTCCAACATTCCGCATCCCATATCCAGTCTGATCTCTTTCATCGAGTCGATTCCACGGAAGGCGCGTCGATTCATTCGGCTCCTGCGAGAACTGACCGTTCCCGCAAGCGAAGGTTAACGCCAAGATCCAAATAAGCATTTTCTATAACGCATAACAATTAAATATTTTCGTTCCACCTACGGGCATCAAGTAGCTCTCGTAACCATTGGACAAAACGAAATCGAAACAGAAACAGTGTTGTTAATTGTGAATAAAATCGACGGTCAACGCCCAAAAATACGCGTTCACCGACTGGCATTTCTCACCTACCTCAACACACTTCGATTTTTTTCCCCTTAATCAAATCCACATATCACAATCAACTGCGACTGATTCGGCCAGACACATTTAAAAACTTAAAAAGAACGCTCCGCGGGGAAATGAAAAACTATGTACATATATTAGGCTCGGTGAATGCACCCCGGAAAAAGTTTCATGATTCAAAGGAGTGGTCACTCTCGTACACACTCCACTGTATTTGGTACGCCACGGAAAGTGACTTATACACGCGCGCGAGGGAAGGAGGGAAAAACTATGCACGCGACATCTTAGAGACCATCTGTGCATTACATAAATGAATAACTTTCGTTCAAACGGTCGGTCCATTTTAAGAGGTTTTTTATCGTTTTTATTTTATTGTAAACACCGCGTGAAGGTTATTGGTACGGTACACCGACGAGCAAATTCGGCTTCCACTAGGGGAAAAAGTAGCGTAAGGAAAGAGCCTCATATCACTTGGTATTGGGAATTATTGAAATTTTTGCCAAATTAACATTTAATTTAACATTTGAAATAAATTTATCAAGTGGAGGGAGGCCTTCCCCCTTCGTCATTGTTTCGCCTAGCGGAAGAAGGCCACTTGGTAAATTGATTTCAAGTACACTAAAATAAATGTTAAATCGAATATTAATTTGGCATAAATTTCAATAATTCCCGATACCAAATTTTAAGAGGCCCTTCTCCAACGCCACTTTTTTTACTAGCGGAAGCCGAGTTTGCTCGTCGGTGTAGGTACTTGTTATTTTATTTAACCATCCGGCTACCGAATATAGATTTATTTTGCAGATTATTACGTCCAGTACCTTATAGTTTATTACTTCTTCTTAAACAATTGGTTTTCTCTCTTCAGATTCTCACGTGCTATAAAACCATTTAATACACAATTAATTCAGCAACATTTCTTTCCAATGCAAATGCTACCAGGGCACGAGACATTCGTGCAACCAGTCTGTTCCGAAAACGCATTCTTCTCAATCAAGAACTCCGGCCGAACAGGTGTTATATCATCGAAACCTTTCCGTCGCGCTTTATTTGCATCGAACTCCCGTTCATCGACCTCTATGTCTGGCAGTTTCGGAGGATAATTCGGTGGAATCACATCAGGCGTATAGCCATCCCTTTTGGACAGATCTCTGCACACGAACACGAGACCTGCTATGTTAACAGACTTCGGTGGTGTGTCCAGCTCACTTGGCTCGAATTCTTTGTCGGGTAAACAAAATTTCGCACCAGCTTCCGCGGCCCTTCTATCCTCCTCGTCCTCGTATGGCACTTTCGTGCATAGAAATTCGTTGAACGAGCCGATATTTTTGAACAACATTTTCTGCTCGACGACCGTGAACGCGTTCGTTGAGAACGTGCCAAAGCACGTCAATCGCAAATATATAGTGATATAACCAGACGGTTTGTCGTCATCGTCCACGAGGCCGAATGTGTTGTCGATTTCATACGACCTAGGCAAATGACGGCGGTCGTTACTAGTCATCATCACGTAATCGCAAAGACAACCCGACATTGGGATCCTCGACCTCCCGAGGGGGTGTTTCTTCACCTTCTCCGGGCACACGAGGATCTCCTTGATTTTGTAAACGTCCAGAAGCATTGGCTTCGCACGCATTCGATCCACCAGCTCCCCAGGAGTCTTAATGAAGACGTACACCTTGCCGGCATTAAAGTGGACGTTTCTGTAGCCAGCTTCTCGTGACACCTCCTTGCCTCTGGTCGGTTTAGTCAGCAGAAAATTCGTTTGAAAGATTCGAAACAACGGCATGTCCGGGAATTGCATATCGACGCCCAAGCTGGTAGGATCGATACCCTGCAGCTTCTCGTGCTGCAAGCTGACGTGATCCACGAAAAGTTCCAGAATGTATAGTTTTTCGTCTTTCAAGGATGCACACTCTTTGTTCATGTCGGTATGCCGAATTTGTTCGATGTTTGCGAAAATAAGGATTGAGGTTGGTAATCGATGAAACTTGTAATTGATTAAACTTGTAATTTTGGAGGTAAGATCGGTCGAAACGGTATGTCTATTTGAGGGAACAATTGAATTCGTTTGGAAGACGCAAAATTAAATTTCCCGCGTTTCTTTGTCACTTTTGAGGAATTTCGAATGACGCGAAATTGGAATGTGAAACATTCATAAGCATTGGTATGGAAGTTTATTTGATCCTTATTTTATATTCTATTATACATTTTAGAGTACATTTTGATAAAAAAAATATATAACACGTTATATTTACTGTACTTGTACTGTACACTAATCATATATTAAATTACAATTTGATTATATATATATATTCAGGAACGCATAATTCATTAACATATATTCTTATTTATTACCACGGAGGATATATTGCAAAATACGCATAGCAGTGAACAGCCGAATATTCTCAGCCATTTTCATTCATTATATGTTATGTATTAAAATTTACTAGCTATAAATTTTAAACAGAAAACAAAACATATGAGCAGAGTATGATAAAACTATGAATAACAGATGCAGACGATAAAGACATGTTTAAAATAAATGTACTATTACTCTATACGAATGTCTGTATAAAAGTAATGAGTTAAATTTATCTAAGCTCATGAGCAGTAATTCGTTCTAATTTTGTATTTATGTTGCAAAGCACCCGATAGAAAAATTATTCAAAATATATGATTTTTCCTTTCTCTATTGGACCTTGACGGGGTGGAACAGAATATATTCATGTTTTCTTTCCAGTCAGACAAACGGAATTCGTCGTCAGTCAATACAATTCGATCATCCCAGCAAACCTTTTGTTTTACAGGGGTACCGTTATAACTGTCAGTGACATTCGCTGTACTGCTCATACTATAAGTCTGATAACCAGTGTCTTGCGCAGAATTAGAAACACTTTGCTGATCAGATATACCTAACACTGTATGGGTTTGTTGTAATATGCAACTCTCGCTGGTAACCATCTTGCAAGAGTCAGTCAAATTCTTTGACTCGTGAACACTGGTCTGTTTTTTGGAATTGAACTCTAATACATCGGTGTCAAAATCATTGGACCTCTTCGCGATGACTTTCGCCTCAATGAAGTTGTTCGTTTGAACACACGTGGAATTACCATTGAAATTCATACAATTGTCCGTTTTCTTTTCTCGCGTTGGTGTATTCATTTTATCGAGGGATTCGTCTAGAAAAAAGTAAAGAATCGGAATAGTATTATTAGTCATAGTTGCATCTGTAACTTGTAAAGATAAGAGTGTTCATAAAAGTTTCACTAAATCGAAGGTAGGCTGTACGGAAATGCCTCGATTGGTAGATATTATCAATGTTACGTGCCAATACCTAGAGAATGATCATTCGAATCTTCCTTATGGTGCATACTGGAGGATTGGTCTATGCTCATTGCGGCAGTGAAATCTAAGCGAGCAACCGAACGATTTCGGGACCTTACGCTTTCGCAGGACGTGTTATTCGTCACCCTGTGTATCGGTGATATATTGGGAGGAGGTGAATCATCAGGAATAATTTGAGACGTATCGTGATGATTATCGGTATCGTGCGAGTCCTGTAAAGAAAATCAACTTAAAGTATACCTAATATTAAGGGGCCTGCGAATAAAAGAAACTTCGATTTACCTTTAATTGAACTCCATCGGCTAATATTCCACTTGGTGGATGACTGGAGGATACTATAAAAGATCCATTCATATTTACAGGTGACAGACATTCGAAAGACTCTTCCTCATTCTCCACGCACTCATTGTGATTGAAGAATAACTTCCTCCTCAAGGAGCTGTTGCTCGAATTGGCATCGTCACTCTCAACATTCTGTTCCTGAACGCGAAATAAAACTTATCAAGGAACTTACTAATAGACTAGACTGATTTTGCATGTTATTTTTTTTCGTTTACTTGGGTGAATGTAAAATAAGGTTTCAGAGCTTCTTCAACATGTGGTGGTAGCTTGGACGGCAATGATAATACTGTTTGACTCCAGCCTAGAAAAAAATCAAAATTGCATAATGCTTTTCTACAATTTTTGCTAATTACCATCTTTCTTGGATTTAGAAGATTCTGGAGACGCATCACTAGACACTCTGGTTGAAGTGTTTGTTCTGATTTGAATTTTAGTGTCTTTTTTCTTTATTTCCCATGGGCTGGGGATAATATTATTCTCTTTAAAAAACCTATCGATGGCAGCCTGAGCTTTTACTTCACTCTCTGGGTCCATACAATGTATCTGCTGCGTGGGAAATTCTTCGATCTTGGCTGGCTTCATCAAGGCCAATTCATCCACGCTCCATGCAAAGTCAGGAGACTGCTGGGACGGACTTGAAACCTACGTATTGTATTCATGATCATATAAAGTCTTCAAGAAATTGTGTAAATCAAATCATTTGTAGAAAATAATTTCAAAACCATACCTTACTGAATGCAGTTGGACTAATCACAGATAAATGCAATCTACTAGATAAGTTAGTTTCAAATGGATTCCTTGCTATAAATTTTGTTAGGTTCGACGGTGGAGTAATGTGAACAGGAAGTACACTAAAGTTACTCCTGTTGGTTTGATATGTTTTATGCCTTGAGGTTGTATCATACTGTTTCACAGGAGTCTTGTATATTATAGGGCTCTTTATCGTTAAGCCACTGTATTTCTTTTCATTTTTAATTGGTGTTGTCCACTTCAATTGATCCATTCCAATGTGACTACAAAAATAATATATTTAAATTAACTTCAAAATGCAAAAGTTTCTTGTAATTAAATAACATTTTTTTAAAATGTGTTAAGTCTGATTAAATAAATGATATTTTATAGAATAATCTATGCTTTTCTAATGTAATAATAAATTCCATCGGGGCAAAATTCAATAAAACTTGTACCTGAGAACCGGTTTTTTTAACGAACGATTGTTGACAGAAAATATCACCACTTCGATGTAATATATATTTTTTGTGCAGTAAATGAATTTGCTTCTTAATTACACAGGACAATAATCTTTTCGCTTTGTTAAAAGGAGTTAGAAATCGTTTGGAGTACTTACATACACTGCTGTCGATGCTTTAACTTTAACGTCTTTTACCAATTCGTTTTAATTTTTGACCGTTATCGTCAAATGTAAACGTTGAAATTTCATGAATTCTTCTCACTAAATTATAATTTACCTTGTATGCAATTTTTGTACGCTATGATAATTATATCTTCATAATTCGAGAAATTGTTTACAAATTTGATTTAATTTTGTACTAACGAATCGTAATCACGTGACCGTGTCACAGATTACACGTCAAATGATGGAATTGGATGGAACTGTCCGTTGTGGTATCCAAGCTGTCCAAGACGTCGCGTCAATTTTAAAATCAAACTCGTATATACGACCGTGGTAGTAGCTTGGTAAGAAGATCATAGAACCCCCGGTGCATACGGAAGAGACCCCGCGTGGTGAGTAGTGGGGTCATAGAACCCCGGGACCAGGCGCCAGGGACCCCGTGTGGCGAGAACGTGGGGTCGCAGAACCCCACAGGTGGCGCCAGATAACCCGTGTTGTGAGAGCGTGGGGGCGATTCCCGGAATCTACGGCTACGAGATGGCTCATTACGGTAAGGCATTCTCGCAAGGGAAATTGTAAGCCGCCGACCAAAAAATAGATGTGATAAACTATGAAACTACATCTATTCTGAATTTATCTGTGACAAATAGACAAATGTAAGGCAAGATATAAAAACGAATAAAACAAGAACATGTAAAAAGTAACATTAATAAAATGTCCATTAACGATGATTTAGAATAAATTTTCTTGTAGTTAAGTGAAAAAATATATACTTGCCTGTTTCATGTTTCATGACTGTCATATTTATCCCTTAACCTTAAAATGAAGCATCGGATATTTTTATTCCCGTCAAATCATATAGATACACGCAATATGAATGGAATATATAACATTTCATTTGTGCTAATAATACTCAGAATTCATGCTTTATCGGTAACGTCGGGTATTGACACTAAAATGGTAAGGGGGCTTCTGACGCCCTCGAAACATGGGACAGAAAATTACATTGTATATTATTGTATAAACTGAGAAAATGAAAGTTTAATATTTGACAAATTAGTAATACCTGCTTCCGTGAAATAAAAAAATTAACAAAGCTACAACGTGACCTATGGACGCGGAATATTATGTTCAAGTGTTTGCATATTAATTTCCATTTACGTCATTTGCATTGAAAAGTGAAAAAAAACTGATTGTTGGACTTTATTCCTGATCGTTGCTGTCAGCATAATATTCGTTCACGATAAGTGCGTCTATTTACAAATGAAGTTATTCTAACCATTTTGTTGTCGAAATGGATAAACACGAAGAATTTGTGGATTTGTTGTCTGAAAGACGAAAGGATTGTGATCTTTTATGGGTCACTCGACCTATGGATCCACTTTTACCACATAAACTTTCTTTGGAATCCAAGTATTCGAGGAGACAAATGATTGAAGCTGTAGTGAATGATGAAAGAGTTAAGCTAGCAATTACATCTTTGGCTGCAGCATTTCAACTGGATACAAATAAAGTTATAAGAGAAGCTCGTGTGATGGTACACGAAATGGCTAGCAAGGCTCATTTAGCTACTGTTCGCTGGTTAGGTAAACTCCAAACCTATTCAGTGAATCAGTCTCATCAATCGTTATCAACAATCTATTAGACTATAAATTTAATTTTCTTCTTTTTAGGTATTGTCATTACAAAAGTTCTTAAAAGAATCTTCTTAAGTATATACATAAACGAAGCTACAGTATTTAGAATGAAGAAGGAAATGCAAATTTCTCAAGTGCAATATGTCTATGCACCCTCTCACAGAAGTTATTTAGACTTTATATTATTGTCATATATTTTGTTTTCTTATAATATGGCCCTTCCAAACATTGCGAGTGGCATGGACTTCTATCAGATGTATATAATAGGAGAGGTATTAAGAAAAACAGGAGCTTTTTATATGAGACGCAGCTTTGCTAATGATTTATTGTATAAACGAGTATTCCAATCGTATGTAATGTCTCTGGTAAAACACAGTGATAGAGCAATCGAATTTTTCATCGAGGGTACTCGTAGTAGAAGCCTGAAGAGTATAGTACCCAAGTTTGGTATGCAAAAACTATTTTCTTCTATTAAATTCTGTTCTAAGATATCGACCGATAAGAACAGAACTTACAAACGATTTTATTTGTAGGTCTATTATCTACAATCTTGGAAAGTTTATTAGAGGGAGGTGTACCTGATATTCACTTTGTACCCATAAGTATTAGTTACGAGCGACCGCCGGAGGAATTATTATTCGCATATGAACTTTTGGGTGTTCCAAAGCCGAAAGAATCCACGGTTGGCCTCCTTCAATCACTGTCTATTTTGCGGAAGCCTTATGCTTACGGTCGTGTCTTTTTTAATATTGGCGAACCTATTTCCGCGTGTCAATTTTTAAGTATGGAACACCGTAAAGCAAAAGTGTTATCACCTTATGCAAAATTGCCATCAGCAGTCCGTGAAAAATTGGCTTACTGTATAATCGATTCGCATAAAAAGAATACAATTCTTACACCTTTTAATATAATAGCTTTGTTATTTAATGAAAGGAGTCAAATGTATCCTGACAATCCATATTCATTAGATAGTTTACTCAATGATTATTTGTGGTGTAAGAATCTTTTACAAACATTTGGCGCGTCAATACATTCAGAAAGGTAAGTTTCATTTTGAAAAGTAACGATGGAATGTTTGTATTATATTCCGTATTATCGTGTACATCTTGTGTAGGTCAGGTGACATAAATGACATCAGACTAGAAATACTAAATACTCTGAAGCCTCATGAAGAATTGCTCGCATTTGATCCATCAGAAATTTTACGACTGAAAGAAAGACACAAAGCAACAAAGCTGAAGGACACTGCACATGTTAAGGGTCATACTCTGTCAGAGAGAACAATGCAGACAGCTGTATCTGTTATTAATATTTCAATCTACCTAAACCCTACTCTCTCCTTTTTGACAAATCCTGCTATCGTTGCATTAGCAGTAGGAACAGAAGGAGTTGAACTTGGTAAAATTGAAACAATTACATCATTCATTATTGATATATCGTTTAAAGAATTAAATCGAACTGTTTATCAATTCATCTAGATACTGCCATTAAACGATATGTAGTACTGAGAACAATATTAAGTACAGAATTTGCAATGCCTTTCATAGAAGACGAGACTATGATACACTCAGAATGGAAAGAAACATTCGGTTTCTTGTTGAGACTAAATTACATAAGTATTCAAAATGATACATGTGTTCAGGCACAAAATCAAAAAGTATTTTCTCTTTTGTATAATGTACTACTACCATTTATAGATGCAATATATATTACCTATCTGGTCTTGTTCGAGGTAAAATCGAAAACATATTTTCATAGTATTTTTGCAGAATACATCGATAGACATAACTTTTGATTACAGTGGGATGAATCGAATGATATAACTATACAAGCAGTTTCAATCGAAGCACAGAAGCGAGTGGAAGAAGCGGTTCTCAATGGAAACGAGTGGGGTAAACATCCGTATTCATTGTCTCTTGATTTATTTAATACAACGATAAGTAACCTTATGATACAAGGTATTCTAGTATCATCTGAAAAACGGAACATATACCAAGTTGATAAAATTCGAATAGCATTACTTCTCGCACAATTGCAAAGTCTTTCGTTGAAACGACCACCGGGCTCGTATCGTAATACGGTGTTATTGTCCGTATCGCCACTAGTAGTTCTAGCCAAATTATAAAAGCTAACGAAACTTCATTGGCTACGATAAATCCAGGTGAATGGGTCGAGTATGTTTTAGGCCGTAAACATTTTATAACATAGTTAGCATCATAGTTATTAGTAGACTGCAGATGTTTATGCAAGTATCAGTGTTTAACGATTCATTTACAGAAACTGAAAACAAACGAAAGTTTGTTCACTGCATTGCATCGCATAAAATTAAAATGATATACTGAATTTCAGACAATTGGGTATGCTATAAATGCATAAAATCCGCAGTCATTAGTCTAGTCGATACGCGGTTGCTTTCTTTTTATCATAAATGTTAACATTTTATAATAAATCGTTTTGTATGTTACAATTACAAATTGTTTATAAATTATAGGAGAATTTCTCCATACCATTCAGGATTCTAGCCGTGTCTTCGTCAAATCCATTTATAGACTTTTTTCTTCTACCAAGAAGCAGAGTAGCGCCAGTAGTGGTAGCTGTAGAGTTGTTCATATTTCTAAATAAGAGCTGAAATGAAAATTATTTCGTATAAAAGCAAACGCGAATATATACTAACCAGATAGCACATGACACCTTGAAGGTGGCTTAAAGACGACTTAGACCTAAAATAGGCGTCTTCAAGGCGTCATGTGCTATCTGGGTTAGTATACTGTCACGTGTCATATGCAATTAAATAGTTAATTACCATGACTAATCGTACAAGATACACAGCAAAAGTAAGAAACGAGATAGCCATCAGTGCACCTTCTATTGATGGAAATCCTGTGGCATGTTCGTGTGAATCATAACTATGGTCGTAATGATCGGCGCCTCTTTTTTCCCGACTGACTGTTATAGATTGTGCAAACCGACGTTCTGTAAAATGAAATTTTGTAAGTACTTGTTCGCAACATTCCCTATGTTGCTTGTGATAAATCATTTGTGTTTGTCTTATTGATTTTCTGTTACCTATTTCCGTTATCAGTGTTTTCTCAAACGTTTTTAAAAACAGTAGTTTCCCTTCTGTAGATGTAGGCTGTGATTTTAAAGTGCGATGAACATTTTTGAATACGTTCACTGGCAAATACTTCAGAATATCCATATTGTTCGAGATTACCGAATCATTGTAGTATTCTGTAGTTGTATCCTTCTCCTGATCAAGAGAAAAATATTTATGAAATTGTCGATAGAGTTAGCAATGTTTACTTACATCCACTGTGGACGAGTCTGTTGTATCTTTATGTTCGTCGGTACTAGTTAGAAATAAATTTTCTTCACTAGCATTTTCATGGATCGTAGCCCCGTTATCAGAATCTTCTAGTTGGTGCGTGACGAACCCTCCACTTCCGTTAACCGCTGTTTGTTCACTGAAGTCTTTACCAGGTATACTTTCGTACACGTAAGGGAATTGATTCTCTGCAGGTTTTTGGGATAATGTGTAAAAATGATCTTGCCTTGGCGAAGATATTCTACAAATGAACGATATAAAATAGCTTATAAAGTAATTATGTAAACATTGTAAACTATTGTTTTAACGTGTTTTAATATAATATGTTTTTCTACATACCTGTATATTTTCTTTTCATCCGAGAATTCGGGCATGTCTACCCATTCTGCCAAACTGATGCTCCATAAGAATATACTCAAAACACTTGACGTTAACATTTTAATTCACTGTACCATAGAATTATCCGTTGAAACGAGCAGTTCTTTCGAAAAATATACAAGTAATGTTGTCACATAATAAAGATGTAAATTATCAGTGCATTTCATTGTGTATTTTCCATTTACCTAAATGAACAGATTATTGTGCATTTGATTTAAGTAACACAATGACTGACTGAGAACATGCTCGGATACGTAGTGTGACACTCGGCAGGATGTTATTATTTCAAGTAGAAGTTCTGTTAGAATTAACGAGGACAAGACGGAACAATTAAGTTTACATTATCGTGACATCAATTTACACAGATTTCCTTAGAACGTTAGATTTAAATATGGTTTTAAATATTATTGAAACTATAACAATTGTCAGTATCAGGACATTTGAAGGAACAGGAATAAAAATAGTCATATGAAACAATTTTTATAAGATGCATTTTATATGAAACGTATACAGTATCGTATTTTGATTGGTTATTTATAATATTTTCGAGTATAAAATTTTTTATTTTATGCAATTCCTTTTAATTTCAAATATGTAAATACTTTGAAAAAGTAATGTCGTTTTTAAAAAATCTGAATTCTTAGGAAATAAAAATTTATGTCATTCTCACAAAAGTCATTACAACTATGATGACATAAATTAATACTTTGCAATAAATACAGAATGTTACGAAGTCGCTATTATTGATAATTTATTTATTCATAGTATTATAAGTACAATAATAATTTAACATTTCAATATTCTTGTGAAAATTTGTTAATTTTACTTAAAATCTATAAGCTGTTGTAATTTATTACTGTCTTTTATTTAAGTACTCTTTGTCTGTTAACTGTGTAGTTGTGACATAAACTTAATTGAAATGGAATGCATCGATAATTCTTGTGAAACTGAATGCACATGTAAAAATATTAAAATATTCTCTATAAAATAGAAAATTAAAAAAATATATGGAATACATGTACCCATAACTTTCTCTACAGCAATTATATAGGTAAAAGATACATTCAACACATCTTATAGAGAAAATATTGTAAAAACATACTATGGATAATAACATTATATATCAAATTATTACTGATACTACATTTTGCATTCATAAAACATTCTATGTATAATAATACCTATTGACATTGCACAAGATCTTTTACACATAATTAAACGTATATCTCCTGAAAATTTATTATAAAATATAACACATGTTGTATAAATATTTAAACTTACTATACCAATAGTATTGACTGCTAAAAAGTACTTTTTCAATTTCAGCATTTTCTCTGATAAAATATTTTGCAATAGTAAGAACAAGCATTCAAATAAGCACATTACATGTATCACATAAATCAAACAAGTGTTTCATGATTAGCTTTTAACAATTTAGGCCGTGTATCATTTATACTGATACACTCAACATTACATTAATTAAATATATAACCATTTCGAAATACTAACATGAAATAATTAAACAAATATTCTATGGCCAAAATGTTCGAATAAGTTACACATATGAGATTCAGTTTATTAACTGATACATAATTAAAATAATTTTACGTTAAAAAATATAAAATTTTAGAAATGTTATTTATATAACCATTGAAAACATGTTTATGTTCTATTGGGCAAACGCATAATTTCTATTGAAATGCCAAATATTGTTACCCAAGAGCAACTCAGTCTTTGTAAGATAATTGATTAAGTAGTAAGAGATTACATTTGTTTATATTTGATTTTTGAATTTGAGGTAAATTGTTCTTTATCTTCGAACATGATTTTTCTGTTTCCTTATTAAGTATGTATGTCATCGATCCTACTGCTATACTTTACTACCTCTAGTAAATACAAACATTGCAAAAACATTGTTGTAATAAAAAATATTTAAAATTATTACATTAGTATTATAATAGATGTGCTATCAATTCTTTCACGATGAATTTAATTAACTAGTCACGTACTATGTGTGTTTGTCTTTTCGAATCTTAAAACACCAAAGAATGGAAAATACATCATTAAGATATTAATGCATGTATATCTACTTCATTTAATTTTCGTTTCACAAATAACAGAAGTAAAAGTAGTGAAGGAATGTACACATTACAAATGTAAGAACATATAAACCCATTTGATTTTGCTTTGCATCATTTAAAAATATCCTGGAATGTTTTTAAATCACTTGTAACAAAGTAATAAAAAAAAGTTATACAAAAATATAAAGAGATTGATCAATAGTAATATGGAACTGTAACATATCCAAAAAAGCTCAACTTATCTTCACCATTATTATGTACCAATGACTGAATAACGTCAACAAACTTTCGTTTACTATTTCCTAATACAAAATTTATCACAATAGCGATTATGTCCGCAACACTATGTAGAACATCTTTTGGGATATTTCTGATAAATTTCGAATTATTTGAAATGCACTCGCATTATTATTAATTCCCTTTTCGTTTTCTTTTGCCGCCGTAATCAGTAGAGGCGAATATTTATCGTTGGAAGCATTAGAAAACAATGGTATATATATATATATATTCATATTATGATCTTATATAGTACTTTGTATCACGTAAGAATAGATCATTGAGAGTTTATGATTTCTTTAGGAAATTGTAGTCTCTGAGACAAGAGTTATAGACATCGAAGCTTGAAAATTTCTAAGCTTAGATATTTTAGAGAGAAAATCGCGAAGTAGGACATTTCGTTTTATATGACAGATCTAGGAAAATCTAAGAGGTTTAAGGAAGCTGCTAAGGGTATTAATCTAACTCCACCATTAATTCCAAAAACATGTCGAAAACACGTTAAGTTAAGCACCCTAATTATAATATATAATATATTATTTAAATATACTTGTTGTAACTTCAAGCAACATTTGTGCGGTTATAAAACATGCTACAGTTTGAATTTCAATTAATTTGGTGAAATATGTTGTACATCGTTCATAGTAACAGCTTAGCCACTTATAAGCTATTCGTAAAATATTATTATGCATCGAGAAAAATATTAAAGTGATAGAAGGACACGGAACAATTAATTATCTCGCTAAGAGAGAAGTAATTGTTGTGTGTCATATGATTGTGCTATATATACTATTCCATGAAGTATCTTTCATTACATATTCGTTAACTATAATGAAACCTCACAATATTGGAACATGTTTGTGTTCATCATTTAAATTTCCATTAGAGTTTCGTATAAACATTGCTGTTGCTTTCCGCTACAATCTCTTGTTCAGTGCCTTATCTTACATATTGCAGTCTGATCGAAATATCATTAATTAAGATTCTTATCTCCTATGTAAAATATCTTGGAAGATACGTTTATCAATGATGTGTAAGTTTACTATCGATATTCTAAGATTTAAAATGAAAGATAAAATTGTACTCCCTTTCGTGAACTTGTTCAAGTCAGGCACGAATGAAACGGCGTAACGTGGCTCGAGCACTTCGAGCCCAGCCTTTATGCAATGACAAGTTATTTGGCAATGTTTCGATGTTTAACGTAGGCGGAGAGTTCTGTCATGTGCGTTGGTCACTGTACGCCAGCCACCGACCATCGTCACTTTCATGTGTTAGATAACGATATCCCACTTTCGTTTCTAACTCTCGTAAATCACACCATGTTTGATAATCCTGAAGGGTTAGAAAAAATTATAGAAAGTCGTAAACAGAGATTCCAATTTTTCATAGATAATTTCAATAACAACCTATAATTTACTTTTTTTTCGTAACTAAATATTGAATTATGTGAAAAAGGCATAAAGTTAATTTATACACCTAATATAATTACTCGAATACTCACTTGAAGCCATGTGTGCAGTAAACTTTTGTCTACAGTGTAGCGTTTCCTTCGTTTAACTTGTAACAAGTTATTTATTAAGTCGATTGCTGGAAAAATATATTAAATATGTATAGTATTTATCACTAAAAAGAAAAACATTATTATAAATTGTCAAAATCTTTACCATCAGATGAGATTTCCTGCCAAGGAATAGGTGGGTACATGAAAGCAGCATTCTGAATTTGTTCATTGATGTCTTCCTCTTCGTTGAATGGGAATGTACCACTTAAAGACACATAAATAATCACACCTACACTCCACATATCCAGAGACCGGTTGTAACCTTTGTTTCGTAAAACTTCCGGCGCTAAATACGCCGGAGTGCCAACAACGCTTCTTCTAAAACTTTTTTCTCCTATGATTCTCGCGAAACCGAAGTCGCACAGTTTCACTTGAGTAAATTCGCTGTCGCTACTCAGCAACACGTTTTCCGGTTTCAAATCGCAATGCACTATATTTTTATTATGCAAGTGCTTCAACGCCACCAGTATCTGTGTAATTAGGAATTTAGTCACCCTCTCGCTGAGACGGCCGCGTTCTGAACTCAATATCATCTCTAACATATCGCCCTTCAATTTCTCCATAACTACAAATATTCGTTCTAGAGTTTCGAACATTCGTTCTAAGTTTACCACCCCGCTGTGTGAAAGATTCTGTAGAATGGCAACTTCGTTTTTCAGCTGTGCCTCCTGCTTCGTAGGAAAGCGTAGCTTATCGATAACTTTTATGGCAACTGCTCGACCACTTTTACGGTGAACGCCTCCGTACACAGTACCAAATTGACCGGAGCCCAATACCTCGTCTGGGAAGATCTCATATAACTGAGACATGTCTGTAATATTCTCCTCCGGTTCTGTCGATTGTTCTTGGTCTAAAACAATTATAAATTGATCCGTGGGATTTTTACCTTTTTAACGATCATATACATACACACAGGGTGGGCTAGAACAGGTGACACAACCAGCAGGTTATTTTGCATGTAAGAATAAGTGGTAAATGTAAAATAAAATTGTTCCATATAATGCTTCGTTCCCCAGGTAATCGAATTTGAAAATCTACTGGATACGTGTGCATTTGGCAGGATAAATTTTCAAATCCGATTATCTCGAAAACAAAGCACCACACGGAAAGTTTTATTGTACACTTCCAATTTATCTTTGTACATAGAATAACTTCCTAATCCGTGGTACCACTAGCTATAGCCCACTCTGTATGTAACGCTCACGACAGAAAAATACACACTGTTTGATACAGTCGTTACAGGCATAAGTGCCTGCCTAATACTAGTTTCCCATGATCTAGCTATATGTGCTCCAATTCCACTTTCTGGAGGAGGAATTTGGGTACAATTATCTCCATACGAAGGATCTTCTCCAACATAATACTCAATATTGGCAGTTTTCAACTCGAAACAATGCATCGTGCCTAAAATATAAAAATATTTTCATATATTTTTCCATATAACGATAATTTATATAGTATCTAAGTACGTACTTGAACGAGATGTTTTAGCGGTTTCAATCGACGATATTTCAACCAATGGAATTTCTTTATAATATTTGGAACTACTTTCAGTTTGAAATAGTGTTATGGCTTTTGTATCGAGACGCCAGTAATGCTTCTTTCTCTGGAAATATATGAATACATCTTCAGATCCGTTTTTAAAGTACAGTTACTTTTATATGTATGTATTAATTATTTACCATCGTATCACGATTCGTAAAATGCACCATCCAACCTTCTTTCAGAACTTTCGAGCCACGTCGTTTCGTGTGCTTTACACTTTGCACTATACGCATTAAAGGTATATTATTGCTTGGTGTGGAACTGCAACTATGAAAATAAATGTTATGTACCATTAAAAATTAATTTTGTAACGTATTTAAGAATGTGTAATCTACCTTGATGGTTTTGATTTTTGAAACTCATCATACGTAATATCATCATTGCTTGGAACTTGATCCTGCAACAGTAATTCAAAAGAATACAATTTATTACTAAAAATTTCACTAAATTAATAAATTACTGGTATCAATATGAAACATACGAAACGCACTTCTTTACACATTGTGTCCCATAATGAATGGTACAAAGAAGAAAACGATTTCATACACAGAAATGAATATACAGAATAACATTTTCTTTTAGCTTCAGAACATGATATACCTACATGTCTGTCCATCGCTTACCGTTTCTACTTCTAATAGACAGTCGGTTATACGGTATGATCTGTTCCCTATCAAGCCCCATTATCTTCTACTTATCAATTTATATCAAATTATTGTGTACAACCGATAACACGGAAACTCAACTTTTCTAAACACTAACACAAATAGAAATAATCAGTAATAAATAAACAGATAAGCAAAATGAGACTGAAATTCGATTTTTTCAAAAACGAAATTTTATAAGGAATTCTGCATTTTTGATTCGTTGTACGTTAAAAAAATTCTTCTCCTTGATGGTATCACTCATTTTGGTACACCCTTATAACATCTTATGATATTATAAATAAAATTTTACAGTGTAATCATCAATTGCCTTCGTCTCATCTCCTGCAAACGAAGAATGCTGAGGGGGTGATGGAGATTCAGCGTCGCTGTCACCATCGCCTTCTTCATTCCTTCCATAGCATTTACCTTCTGGTTCACTGCCAACACCGCTGTCAGGATATTCGTTACCTGTGTAACAATATTCATCAGAACAGTGCACATCTTCGTTAAGCATGCAAGTCTGCCGAAAGTTCTATCTTCATAGTTAATAGTTTCTCTTCGCCCCAGAATATTAAAGATCATTTTAATTGATAAAGAAAACAATAACTAAAAGTTTAATGTTGCATAGTAAATAGTTTCAAAACACATGCATCGTACACACTTGGGATTTGCATACAAAACATTCATAATGGGTACTTCATGATCGGACCAAGAAAAATTTGGTAAATTAGTAATCAATTCGTATCAAGCATTTTCGAAATGATATTCCTACAATATTCTTCTGAGAAAACACACACACTGTCAATCTGAAAACCGTAGCTTACGAGAATACCTTCCTGACATTGAAAAACGCAAAAGAACTCCGCATTTAGTGGGACAAAGAAAGATTAATTCACTATAAATTTCACACCGAGTTACAATAAGAAATGAAACTGGAGAAAAATTGAGGAAAAAATTATAGTTTCTAACAAGTAAAACAGACGAGATATATATATATATATATGTTTTTTTAGAGACACAAGAAAGAATTAGGAACTGGAGTTGGGAGGGCCACAATTACTCTTCATACTTTTCAGACTGCACCTTCGAATGATCACCTACTCAGATTCATGTCAATTTTTGTTTCAGCAAAAAAAAAAACTTTATCCATCGGTTGTCAAATTACAGAAACTATAGATCCATTCAAAGTATCTAAAGATATACAATCTTATAGAAATGAAATTTAAAATATTTTCGGAAGCCAAGGAGAGGTTGCAAATTATATTACAAAAGAATTACAAAGATACGTGTACTTTGTAGCGCGCAGAGTGTTTGAATCGAAAGTAAACAGAACTTTTCGGTAAACCCTATGAACTATTAAATACAAAGAAGTTGAACCTGTATTGTCTCGTGGATTTTCTCCGGTACAGTCTTTAGGTATTTTTTCAATGCACTTTTTGTGTGCATTGTACTGACAATCTTTACATTGTAGGCCTTGTTTAAATAAACCTCTTAGCAATTTTTTACAGTGTCCGCATACAGTTGGCCTAGTGTACGTATGCACCACAAATGTATGCGGAATTTTTATACGTGTCGCTAGTTCTCGCTCGACCCATACTGGTCTTCCTCCCAGTGAAGGAGAACGGGATTGTTTTGGAGCCATTATACTTGGTATTGTCTGAACACAGGAGATTATTACAGTATAGAAAATATAATGTTACAATAATACAAGAAACTAAGTAGGTCGCGTGTGACGTTTTACAAAAAATCCTACCAAAGTACTATTATTTTGGCTCACGTTCGGCGTATTATTTGTACTATGATTATCATCACTGATGCTGGTCAAACTACTGGTAGATCCTTGACTCGGAGACCGTGGCACATTCAACATTGCTGAACTACGCCGTCTTTGACTGACATCTTGTGAGCAATTATTAGGTATTTTAATGACACATCTTTTATGATAATTCATCCCACAACCTGTGCAATGAAAAATCACTGGATTCAGTATATCGATCCTATAATATTACATCGCTGTATTTCATGTTATATTTACCTCCGCATTTTAGACCTTGTCGAACAAGACCGAATAACATTTCGCCGCAAAAATCACAAAATGTTGGTACCTTGTACGAGTTAACAGTCAAAGCATGGGGACGAATGGGAACTTCTTCATTTGGCACTTGTGCTGAATCAAAAATAAATGATTAATTATTTAATGAGTAAATTTTTTAGTTTTATTTCTTTTATCTATATTTTGTACAGTGACAAATATGTTCTCCCATTTACAACTTCATTAAAATAAGTACCAAGAAAGTGAGCTACCTTCTTTTGTAATAGTTTAACACATTCGAGACCAATGAGTCGATGTATAAGTCAGTCAATATCTTACCAATCTTTTTTTTATGACTTAACATGTGGGTCTTTTATAGACAGTATGTAACCGTTGCTGAATTTTGAATTAATCTTATAATAATATATCGCTTTCGAATGTGTTAAGCAGAAATACCTCTTAATATAAAAATAACATTTACCAGTCAAAACAATTTCTACCAAAGTTTCGTCAACAACTTCTGTTGCATTTGTGATAAGTTGCAATATATTTGTGGAATTATAATCGTGTTTGAATAAAAGCAATCTTTCATACAAGTGGTTCAAACCATGGTCTGGACACTTGGTGTTTATAAAATCGCAAGCAAATTCTTTAAGTGCCTTAAGAGTTAATGTGCTGCTGTCAACACTAACAGTGTCACGAGTCAAACCAAATTGAAATAAAAATGTTACTTCTGGTCCCTCCATGGTGTCTGTCTTATTGTCTGCAATCCATAAGCACATTGATAAATTAGCTTAACTTGAATAAAATTAACCAATATAATTACATAAATAAAACTTGATGAAATAATTATATATTCCTAATATGCAGAGTACGTTATATAAAATATACAAGGATTTACTTTACAGTAATGAAAAGAATATACTTAGTACGCCAATTATAATTTTATCTTCTACTCAAAACATATAATTACACACTATTTTTTTGGGAACCGTACGCATGCAGAGTTTCTGTTCGAACGGAATAGTTAATATAATCGTCGTGAATAAGTGAATTAATACCATTAAATCATTCGTAAAAATATTCACGCGATTTATAAAATATACTCGAACCATATGAATCTCTAACGTAAGGAAGAAGCAAGAAGAAAAACGGTAGTACCTATTACAGTATAATACGAGTTGTCTATTATTTAAACAATTGGATTACGTACGTTCCAGTCAATTGGCAGAAGATGCTGTTTATCTACGTATCCCACAAGTCTCACCGAAGAGCGTCAAATCCATGCCTGACACACATTCGTTGATGACATTTTACAGTTATCTCCAGGTGACCGACCCACCTTCGCCGTATACTTCTATACCTGTTATATATACTACCGTGTAGGCGCGGGATCAAAATTAAACGAATCAACGGTCCATATTTCTCGACCTAAGACGTTCCCCTAAAAAACTAATTCGAACTCTGAACCATAAAAAAAATTTTTTAAACGAATCAATGAATATCTCTCTTTTACAAATACTTGTACAGATCACGCACCTTTGCACATGTAAGAATCTAGTTCCGTACGTTGTTACCAAAGATTGTTAAGAATCGAATCAACATCACGCCGCGATTAATCCAATCAAACACGAAGAAAAATAACTGCATAGGGAGAGACGGGAGAGACCGGAGAGACGACCAAGAAAGCGGGAAGAACGAATATTTGACGTTCATCGGAGTAGACAATTCTTTTTAGAATACAAATTCATATATTATTGCTAGACTACAGAATTGATTACCTTATGGTAGACACAATTGAGTAAAACACATTATAATATAGGTTTCATACACTTTAACTTCTGTTCTATCTAATGAAACCATTGTTGAAAGAAGTACATAACTTTTTATTTAATTCCAGCCTTTATGAATTATTCTTTATTTTTTCTAATTGCATATGTGTATATTATACTATGTTGTTATTATAAAAAACCTAAATGTGCAAATACTTTGTTCATTCACTAGATATGTAAGATATGATACGAGTAGAGAGCAGATTCGCGGAAAGCTGACCTAACACAACAGTCCGTAATTGGACACCATTGGGCACGTGGAAGAGTGGTTCTAACCTACGTGAACTTATGATTGTTATTATTTAATTCGAATTATACAGACAAAAATGACTTATAAGCTTACGGTTAATTCTAAGAGTCCTCCGACGGGTGAGTTCTCCACTTTTTTACGACTTCAAAAATTCCGATAACTTACGATTGTTTTGAAAAAAGTTCGATAACAGATGTCGACAAAATTAGCCGACTAATTTAAAACAAACAATAATAATTTCCCTTTAAACGACTTCAGTTCATAATTATTTTTTACCTATGTTGAGCTCATTATTAAAATGTCATTGTTGTCAAATGTATATGGTTAGTCAGAAAAAATGAATGTGTATGTTAAAAAAGTGTATTTGAAAGCTGATGCAATTTTTGGTGCAATGCATTCGTATGCCTAAACAAAATTAATTAAGACACTTTTAAACAACTATGAACTCAAGATTATTAATACATTTTAGATGCTTTATTATAATTTTTACATGTAATAATATTAATTGATGTATTTTTAACTTGTGTAGATGCATTGATAGTAGTAGAAATAATCAATTCAGAGAACAAAGACAAAATTGTGGTGGATTGGTGTGATAATTGGAATGGTGATGGAAATGTACGACTAACAGATAAAGAGAATAAAGTATTGGGAGAAAGAAGTAACGATATAGGTCGTTACTTTGCTAGAACTACACATACAGATCTATATGGTAAGTGTCTATGAATTTAATCTTTTGTAATTCTGTAAATATATTTTATACAAACTTTTATTTATTACTTTTACCGGTTGTTTTTTCATCTAGGAGGTGTCAGTCCTCTTGAAAGAACTGAAGTTGATCATTGGCTGTCCTTCACTGTAGGACCTTTGGGATCTCTTCCATTGAAAGAAAGTGCACTACAATATTTAGATGGTGTATTGAAGACAACCACTTGGTTGGTTTCCAAAAAGTTAACCCTAGCCGATATCTCTGTATTTTGTGCACTTTTGGATAAAGAATTTCTAGCAAAGTTTGAGAAACAATTTGTTAACGTAAATAGATGGTATAGACAAATGCTTTCACTGCCTGCTGTTGCAGAGGTATTGTCTTCAGTTAAAAAGAATGCCAAGGTTGTTATTAATAATATGCATTCCGAGAAAGTTACTAATAAACAAACTGGACAAAGAAAACAAGAAGGTAAATTCATTGATCTGCCTGGAGCAGAAATGGGAAAAGTGAGTAACTAAAGTTCATAATATAGCATATATACTTGATTCATTCGATTTGTTTTAGAAGATACGAAAAGATGTACAAGAAAAATATTTTTACAAATCTGTTGATTCTAATGATAGGTTGTAGTACGTTTTCCTCCAGAAGCAAGTGGGTTTCTGCATATTGGTCATGCCAAAGCAGCATTGTTAAATCAGTATTATGCTGAAACATTCAGAGGGCAACTTATCATGAGATTCGACGATACAAATCCCGCAAAAGAGAATGTAGAATTTGAGAAAGCTATTTTGGAAGACCTGGAATTACTACAAATTAAGCCGGATCGATTTACACATTCTTCTGACTACTTTGACTTGATGCTGGAATATTGTACGAAATTAATAAAAGAGGGAAAAGCATATGTGGATGATACTCCCGCTAATATAATGAAAGAACAACGTGATCAAAAAATAATGTCATCGAATAGAAATAACTGTAAGTATCAACACCTCAGAAGCGTAAACGTAGCTGTTGCGGTGTACTCGCGTTTAACCACTGCTCTTTGGTAAATTAATACCGCGGAAATCGTTGGAAAGATGGTGTGATGGTGTGTGGTAATATGTGTTTTAAATGATTTGACACAACTTAGTAACACACTTACACTTTAATATAAACTTAAAAATGTGATGTATGTGCATGTGTGTGCATGTGTGTACTGGTTGTGTTCTGACTGATCGATGTGTTCTTGTTGACGGTTGAATGTGTTCTGGTGAATGAGTGAATGTATAGATCCTTACTGGAACGGATCGACTCGTGATTGGTGGAAAATGCAGGATTTTGGTTGGTATAGGTAGTTCAAGAGGTGGTAGTATGAGTTGGAAGAAGTTGGGTTTGGAAAATGTATTGTTTTTTGGATTCCTGGAAGTCAGCGCCGAAATACAAGGAACGGTCTTAAGGACCGCAAATGTTTTGCACGTGATATGCAGCTGTCCAGGAATCCCTGTTTTTGACGGTTTGGTGACCGTGTCGACGGCCCAAAACGCGACGAGCGTTACGACCATCGCCTACCTGCGTTGGGTCGCAACAGTAGCATTGTATACCCGAATTTCGCAAATGAAGAATATTTATTTATTATTTTAGCTATCGAAAAGAATCTTCAACTATGGAATGAAATGCAACAGGGTACTCCAAGAGGTCAGGAATGTTGTGTTAGAACAAAAATCGATTACGAATCGGCGAATGGATGTTTACGGGATCCAACAATATACAGATGCAAACCAGAGCCTCATCCCCGAACTGGAACAAAATACAAGTATCTATGCCACATTTAAGAAATATGAAAAGAATCAATAGATGCATCGATTTATTTATACCTTTTGTATATCATACGAGACGTATTCGTTTTTTTAATAGGGTATATCCAACGTATGATTTCGCTTGTCCCATTGTTGACGCTATCGAAAATGTTACGCACACTTTACGTACAACAGAGTACCATGACAGAGACGCTCAGTTTTACTGGATAATCGACGCCTTGGGATTGAGACGACCTTACATATGGGAATACTCGCGTTTGAACATGACCAACACGGTTCTTTCTAAAAGGAAATTAACTTGGTTTGTTGATGAAGGTCTAGTCGACGGATGGGATGATCCGCGTTTCCCAACAGTAAGGGGTATTCTAAGAAGAGGAATGACCGTTGAAGGGTTGAAGCAATTTATAATCGCTCAAGGTAGCTCGAGGTCTGTGGTTTTCATGGAGTGGGATAAAATATGGGCGTTTAACAAAAAAGTTATTGATCCAGTTGCTACTAGGTAAGTCGTAATACATATCTACAACTATAAAATGTGAACCACCTAAGACTTTCATCTGAAATAGCTCCGTTGTTTTTAATATAATACGAGAAAATGTGTAAGGAAAGAAAGGTTTGCCTCAGTGGGGCAATTATTGTTATAGAGCAAATTTCTTTTCTCAAGGTCATGTTTTCCGATATTTCAAGGTCATCGTTTTTTTAAATGGGATAACGTATTTTGATTAGTGTAATATTGTATCTAATGAAAAGACAAATTCACGTCACATTTTCAGGTATACTGCGTTGGATCATGACAAACTTGTGCCAGTTCACATAAATAATGTAAAAGAAGAGTGGCTGACTGTACAGAATCATCCGAAAGATCCCTCGAAAGGTACCAAACGAGTACTAACGGGTTCGTTGCTGTACATAGAAAAGGACGACGCAGACGTCTTGGTTGAAGGTCAAAATACAACCTTCATTAATTGGGGAAACATAATGATTAAAAAAATAGAAAAAGAAAATGGGATTGTTAAAAATGTACTGGCACAATTGAATCTGGAAAACAAAGATTACAAGAATACATTGAAAATTACATGGTTAACAGTACTGTCTAATAAAAGTGACAACGATATTAGTGAAACTAATGTAATACCCTGTTACGCTGTGTATTTCGATCATATTATAAGCAAACCAGTTTTAGGGAAGGATGATGATTATAAAGGTTTCATTGCAAAGAATACAAGAGTAAGTCTCCACTTTATACAGTAATTGTATATCCAATGAATACATATTATCAATTTTATATATATTTTTAGGTAGAGGTACAAATGATTGGAGAAGCGGAATTGAAACGCGTGAAGAAAGGAGAAATCATTCAATTACAAAGGAAAGGATTTTTCCGATGTGACGTACCTTATGAATCTGCTAGCCCATTTTCTTCTAGAGAACAACCTTTAATTCTGTTCCATGTACCGGACGGACACACTACCAACACAGCGAAAACTGCTTCCACGGTACCATTAACTAAGGAATCTTCTCAGAAGAATGTATGCACCATTTTACAATTTTATAATCGTATTTTAACGCTTTGTTTTGTTTTCGCGTGGGACATCGATGGCTCACTGGCCATACCGTTTTAAATGATCCATGTTTTAACATAGCGTGCTTGTTTCAAATTACAGAATACGACACAAGATTCCAACGTAATCAACGAAAAAATTATTGCTCAAGGTGATAGAGTGCGCATTCTAAAATCCCAAAAAGCAGATAAAGCTACCATTGATGCTGAGGTGAAGATGCTTCTAAACTTGAAGGCCGAATATAAAGCGTCTACTGGGAAAGAATGGAAGCCATCCAGTATCCCTACACAGAAGACACCCGAAAAAGCAACAGCTGTTGTGAGCCACGAAGCAGCAACCGATAGCGAAAAGCTATCCAATCAGATACAGGAACAAGGAAATAAGGTTAGGCAGTTGAAAGCTTCGAAAGCAGGAAAAGACGCCATCGATCAAGAAGTGAAGTTACTTTTGAAATTAAAGACTGATTATAAAGCTGCTACTGGCCAGGAATGGAAGCCACCCACTGCTACAGTAGTTAATGTACTGAATAAGGAAACCCCTAACACTGGTCAGCTGTCGCAGAACATACAGAAGCAGGGTGATAAAGTACGACAACTGAAAGAGTCTAAGGCTGATAAAAGTGTTATCGATCAAGAAGTAAAAATTCTGTTGGAATGGAAAAATCAGTACAAAGCATTAACTGGTCAGGAATGGAAGTCACAGAAACCCGAAGCAATACCTAAAAAGAAGAAAGACACCTCTAAAACTGACAAACAGAAGAGCATTATAAACAAAGAGATAGTTAAAAGCGAAGGTACAAAAGATACAGAGACTGGGAAAACTGGTACCAGATTGGGAATGGAAGTCAAAAAAGAAGAAAACTTCTTCGAGTGGTATTCTCAGATTATTACAAAAAGTGGTATGATCGAGTATTACGACGTATCAGGCTGCTACATTCTTCGTCCATGGAGCTTCGCCATATGGAAAATCGTGAAAGAATATATCGACAAGGAAATAACGCAACTAGGTGTTCAAGAGTGCTATTTTCCTATGTTTGTCACGCGAGCAGTGTTAGAGAAAGAGAAGGCGCACATAACAGACTTCGCACCGGAAGTCGCGTGGGTCACAAAGTGTGGGGAATCGGATTTAGCGGAACCGATTGCTATCAGACCAACGTCAGAGACGGTGATGTATCCGGCCTACGCTAAATGGTTAAAATCCGACACTGAACTTCCCTTGAAGCTCAACCAATGGAACAATGTGGTTAGATGGGAGTTCAAGGATCCCAAACCTTTCTTGCGTACACGAGAATTTTTGTGGCAAGAGGGTCATACTGCTTTCGCCACTAAAGCTGAAGCGGATGAGGAAGTAATGACGATTCTAGACATGTACGCCAGGGTATACGAAGATTTGTTAGCAGTACCTGTGATCATGGGACGTAAAACTGAAAAAGAGAAATTCGCCGGTGGTGATTATACCACCACAGTCGAGGCTTTTATCTCGACGAGTGGCCGCGCTATACAGGGTGCTACTAGTCACCATCTGGGACAAAATTTCTCGAAAATGTTTAACATCCAGGTGGAGGGTGCAACAGAAGCGGATGAAAAAACATTTGTCTATCAGAACTCGTGGGGCTTGACCACCAGAACGATTGGTGTTATGATAATGGTATGTAGCCTGTGGATTGTAATATGGTTTAAAATTGTATTATTATATTTATTGATTAATAGTGAAGTAATTTGTGAAACTCGGTAACTGTAGTTTCATTCGAATCATAATATTTGTGGAAGTAATTTTACATTTTGTTTTGTAGATTCATGGTGACGATAAAGGTTTAGTGCTCCCACCAAATGTGGCTTGCATCCAGGGTATTATAGTACCCTGTGGTATTACGGCTAGTACATCGTCGCAACAAAGAGAATATTTGTCTGCCGAATGCAATAAATTACTGGATGAGCTTTCACAAGATAAAACGTTAAGAGTAAAAGCCGATTATCGTAGCAATCGAACTCCAGGTTGGAAATTCAATCACTGGGAATTGAAAGGTGTACCTGTAAGAATCGAATTGGGTCCCAAGGACTTGGAAAAGAATCAGGTTACATTCGTACGTAGAGACACATCCGAGAGAGTAGTTGCGAAGAGACTGGAAGTAGTTGCAGCGTTGCATAAGCTGTTGACTGATATACAATCAAGTATGCTTACAAAGTAAGTGCAAGTAGTATATTTATAATAGTAGTACGTGAGGTCATTTGAAAATTTCTCGGAATGAAATATGGATGACATCAAGTAGTTCTGAAATGTTTAATTCATCAAAGATTTTCATTTGTTATACGATTAACTGTAATGTATCAAGTCTGGATACTATATGGTATTTTGTATACCATCTGCTTCAACAATTGAATTGTATTTTATTGTATTGAATTGTTCCTAACAATTGAACAGTAGCGAATTCGAGTGCAAGTTTCTCAAAAGTGTTTAGAGCTATGGTTTATAATGTTGGAATGTTGTTGGTCCAAGTACATTGATGTTACAGAGTTTTATTTTTACAAACGATGTAAATTGTCTTTCCACTCTACTCCGAGAACTTGTCGAATGACCCACGTATATTTTATACAACACTATTTTAATCAGTTACCTGATTCTGACTTGTAAACATATCGCATTCTTAACAGGGCAAGGCAAAATTTGAACGAGCATACTAAAGTAGCTGAAAATTGGAATGATTTCTGTTCTGAACTCAATAAAAAGAACATATTGTTGTCACCATTTTGTGGAGAATCATGTTGTGAAGATAACATCAAGACCGATAGCGCGCGGTAAATATTAATAAAAGAAATTTTTACATTAATAATAGTAAAAATTGTGTGCTCTTCAGTAGATTCAAATATCTGTATTATGTTTGCAGAGAGGATGCAGGGGAAGAGGCTGGAGCACTCTTTATGGGCGCAAAAAGTCTTTGCATACCGTTTAAGCAGCCAACCTCAACGACGCCTATTGATAAACAGAAATGCATCTATCCTGGTTGTCAAAACAAACCTAAATTTTATACACTTTTTGGACGCAGTTATTGAATTCCTTTTACAAATGCGTTTCGCAGGAATGAACTTTATAAGAGGCTTCGAAGAATATGTTTTCAATATATGCTTTAGCGACAGAATTATTAAACTCGTACAAATATATGTCCGTTTCTTATTTCTGTTCTAGTTCCGAGTATTCTTTCTATTTTGTACGATTGATCTTTCTCTTTCAAAGTTATTTATTTTACGCGATTCTTTCTTATTTTGTGAATGGAGTATTGTTCGAAAATAATATATAATTAATTGCCCGATTTGAAATACACTGTAATGTAAGGAAAGGTGAAAAAATTTGATATGTATATTTATTTTCGTCTTAAATAACGACTAACAAGAAAAAGCAAACTGTAAAATTGAATTATAATTTTTTTTTAAATCAAATTTATATAGTACCATTTAAATTAAAAATACAATGATGAATTCTACAGATTTTAGGCGTTACGTTAAAGTGGAAATTTCTCACTAACAGAATTGAAAATTTATTTCACGAGTACAAGCGTACAGTTATTCCTACTCACGATTAAAGAAAGTACAACAGCTAATTATTGTACGTTTCTAAGTAATAATGCAATAAATTTATTAAGTTATGCATATACGTATGCGTCTAAAATATACGTTTTTACAAAGTTTACAAGTAACCGTAATATTACTAAACATGTTCGATAATACGTATAAAAATTGTATCTATCAATACACATATCGGTTTCAGAAATGCAGGTTTTGTTTACGGATAATGTAGTCAGATTAATACTTTCATAATCTTTGCAATATATTCTGTACATACACATAAGTAAGTTACGTTATCTATTGAAGAAACATCGTTTCTCAAAATGACTACCAGTCCACTTAACATCGTGTTTCGAACGATTGAACGATGGTTTATTGAAATATCTTGTCTCCGTCACTAAATTATTCGTAGACACTACCTCATTATCACTTTCCTTACTCTCCTCTGCGTGGCTTTTCAATTCTGTTAATCTATTCCCTGTCAAGGATATCGTAAAGTTCCCAAGATGCATCGATTCGTCTATCACTGAATCCGTGACATGTCTACTTGCGATATTACTTATTTCGCTCATATCGTTCCATTCCTTCAAGAAACCTACTTCGTCGATACTTCGTTCGTCATTTATTTTCCTACTTTTCGAGAACAATTCCGGATTTGTATGGATGAAGCTTTCAATTTTCTTCAAATCGATACTTATTTTAAAATTACTCCCAGTCGCGTTCTTCTTATTCTCGAATATACTATTTACACAAATCGATTTCGAGTCGAAGGGATCGTCCTTTTTAATATATTCGGCAGTCCCGTTTCTTCGAACATTCTGTTTAACGCTACTAATATTTTTAAACTGTATATCATTCGAACGCGCGATCAGTTCGTCCGCATCGAAAGTATTCACGATATCGGTCACCGAGTTAACGGTTTCTCGATGAAGTCGCTTGTTGTCCTCTTCGATCGCTTTCGACAGATTATAAGGGAAATGCATCGAACCACTTTCCTCGCTTAGATTATTGCTATTATCTGCTAAATTTTTACAGGATATGGGGTCCAAGTTCTCCTTAGCATCGTCACGATAATTTTCAGACCGGTCGATAACGGGTAAACTGTGCCTGACCTTATCTTTACAAATCGGCGTGCTACTGCATAAAATGCTCTCAGTCATGAAAACTGAAGGAGATTCGGTATGCGTTTTAAGATACTTTTGTTGAACACTCTTCCGCGGAGATACATCGAATTTCGTAGTCTTTCTCACGGCAGTTGCATTCTCCATGTTAATATTCACAGAAAACTTATTGTATAATATCATCTGCGAAACGAGCACAAATTGTTCAGACATTGTACAGCACTGTTTATAAATGGCGAGGCAATAATCCTTTCTATAGAACTCACTGTGCTGAAGATATTTAGACGGTAATAATTATTGCCTCATCCTGTATTATTAACGGCAATAATTGTGTTCAAAGAAAACGTAATTACGAACCTGCAAATTATTCGAACTACACACACGGAACTTTAGATCACGCAGACGTATATATTCAGGTATCAGTCTATAGTGATCACGTTCGTTACTTGTTTGGTTGATTCCACCGACACTTGTTTTACAGTGTGAAATGGTAGCCCTACAATTCATCAAAATGTAGAATGAACTTTCAGCATACATATTTATGAAAAACTTTCAGCGTAAAAGGTTTTTCATCTAACATATGAATCATTCTGCCCATATTTAAGCGCATAACAATGCATGCAATTTCATTCAACAGGTTTTCTATGATGTAAGATAGAGTTTGTACAATGGATTCTAACTATATTGCCATGGTCCGGGGAGACTGTAGGGGAGTAAAATGGCAATGAGTTCAGAGTCCCCTCCATGCTAACAAGGGAAGGCACGGAAGTGTCCCCCTCCGATTTTGATGAAATTTCGTATGTCTGTTAAGCACTCCAAAATAAGGGATACGTATTTTTTTTATCGGCTGAGACGCGACTTTAAGGAGTGAAACCACCCCTCGAAGTTTAGATCCGAATCCGTGCCTTCCCTTGTAAGTTAGACTCTGTCTCAGCGTGAAAGTACGCGTGAGGGAAAAGTGCCTTCCGTGGCAATATAGTTAGAGTTCACTGTAATTAAATGCAACTGATAACACTCACATCTGAAGACCGGATTGTCGTTCCAACTGCTCTGATGTCCCTGATTGCAAAGAAACGTGACTGACGCATTCTCTTGTGGGATCGATCCTTGAATCCCTCGTGATGTCCCTATATCCTGATCTGGTGACAGCAGGACTGGTGCCTGCATCCGCGTCACACTGTTAGAATTCCAAGCGATACAGTGAAGGGAAGGTACGGGGACATTAAAAAATGCATGCACGATCCCCGTACCCTACTTTTTATGAGAATTAACCCTTAAGTAATTGCATCTATGCTTTAATTCAATACGCGTTACTGTCGGTGCGTTGCATTTGTGGTGACGTAGTCAAGAGTGATTTATAGAAATGGGTCCGTGACCAGACCAGTTCAAATACATTTGTGGTACAGTGACGTGCAAATTCGGCTTCCGCTACGGAAAGAAGTGTCGTGGGGCCTTTTACCACTTGATAAATTTATTTCAAGCACTGAAATAAATGTTAAACCGAATGTTAATTTGGCATACATTTCAATAGTTCCGGATACCAAATGGTAGGAGGCTCTTACTCTTATGCCACTTTTTCCGCTAGCAGAAGCCGAGTTTGCTCGCGAGGGTACATCTATAAGCACGGACAGTTCAAACACAGTATAAACGTGGCAAGGCGTTCAAACTCAAGGTCAAGTCCAAACGGTTCAAAACTTTTGAAGTTCCTGCCACGCCTGAACAATGTTTGAACTGTTCAAACTTCTCATAAAAAGTCCAAATACGTTTGAACAGCTTGCGGACCCCCGTTACTAATGATTTTATATTTAGTTCTAATGATATTTCTGTCCTTGAAAACAACAGTGTTACTTAGGTGTACCCTTTTAGATGTCTCATTTTGCATACCTGATCAACACACGAGTTGAAACTCCGTAGTATAACAATTTAGTAATAATACCTTGATAAACTGTATTTAGAAAGCATTTCGTATTAGAGCTTCAGAAACAATTTAAGGGTTAATGACCAGTAATGTTTATTTTATGTCAGTTCACTATTCTCATCTACTGCACAGGGTACAGAGGAAGACAATTGAAATGTGACGTTTCTATTCTTCACTGTGCATGTAACTCGTAACAGTATATTTAATGAAAAACATAAAATATACAGTAGATTATATTACTTACACTTCTTCTATGTCCTTTGATCATTTTGTCTTCGAATATTGTTTCCGCCTGATTCATAGTCGTGCGATTATTATTGCCTTGTTTTTTGCATTCCGATGATGTTGAACCAACATCATTGTCTAATGTTTCGTATGTATTCGCTTCGATCGAATGGTCTGCGTTAGACGTTTGATTAATTGTGGCAGCCGTTTTTGTAACACTATCGTGTATCTTCAACACATTTCCAGAGGTACTGTCCTTATTATCTTTATTAATTTCTATTGAAGGTAATGTACTATTTACAGATGCAACAGGCTTCCTACTATTTTTAGTACTAATATGTACATGTCGACGCTGTTTCTCTTGTTCATACAATATATCAAGGCTTCTTCTCATTTTCTTATGGTTCACCTCTAATGCATTCGTCGAACTCAAAGTATCGTTGTCGACTTTTCTTTTGAAACGTACTTCTTCAAAATGATCACTTTTTGACATCGAAGAGTGAGGTCTAGGACTACAAATCTGTGACGGACACTCAGTACAGTCAGCTTCCCGTTCCGCCATAATGAATGATACATTCTCAAATTCTTCGGGTGTCAAAGACATTACATTGCTGATTTTGATATTCGAAAGCATGTCTCTGGAATCGTAATCACTTGCTGGGTTTAGATGTATTATCTCATCTAAAGCAATAGATTTGTTTTCCTCTAAATCGACATTTTCGGCAGATTTAAAATTGTCTGTCGACGAATTATTTTTGTAATTTTCGTCTAAATTGCTTGTTTCTAACTTTAGTGTCTGGAAGAGACTAAAATCATGCACTGTGTCGCTCTTTTCGTCTTCAACAGCACTACTTTTTAATTCAAACAGATTCGTTGCTGCAGTTTCACTAACATCAGCAATTAGTATTGTACTTTCTAGCGAACTGGTAGTTTTATTCTATAATTTATATATTTATATTTTAGAACTTACTCGATTTTATTTAGTTGACTTTTATATGATTATGCATTTACCTTTGTTCTATCATCGTCACTGTCGAGCATAATTATAGTATCATTCAGGGCAGCAGTTACAGATTCAGAATGTTCAGTTGTTGAATTAATATATTCTTCGCATATATCTGATCTACTTTTAAGAGTATTTTTATTACTTGTACATTCCTCTGCACATGGTAACTTTGATGTCGTATCCTCTTCTTCGGTACTTTGTTGCTTACTGATGCGGTTCTGCATTCTGACAAACATTACGATAGATTTATGTTAGCATAAAAGAACTCACTATGACAAGTACGTAAACGTTTGTATTTTATAACTTATTTGTACTAACTCTTGTTCTTTTGCGATTTGCATTTGTTGTCGTAATTTAAAGGTCCGTGGACCAGGACGTAATTTAATAGTCGGCACATCTTGCATCAGAATTGGACTTGGTATGTTCGTCATGAACGGTATAGGCGACTCTTTACCAACGGAAATATCACTGTCACTGTTCTCGGAGTTAAAATCATTGCTCCTTAAATAATTCAAAATATTTATTAATTTCCACTCACATTAATACTCGATAGTACCATTTCAAATTTGTAATAGTATTACGACCCCTTTAATTATTAACAATAAAGGGTAAACAGAAAAAAAATAGAATACATACTGTAATGTAATCACAGATGTGTTTGCGTTAGTTGTTTCTTCGGATTTATCTATAATTAAAAAAGGACAAGAGTTCATTGATGAGTTTGTATTTCTGATAATGATATTATTCGTCGATAATTTACCTAGTATAGAAATACATTCTGAACATTCCCAAACAGGTTTGGCCCATTTAAGTTGTCCACATGCCATGTGAATTCCTTGTGAACCACAGCTTCGACACAGTGTCAGCTCCCACTTTCTGTTACAAGCATATTTTGAAAATAAAGAAAACTAGAAAAGCGCTCACTATCATTAGACGAAGTATATACGAAACATGATTTCACTTACGCATTAAAACTGGTATATTTTCTACCTTTGGGACAAAGACACATTGGAGCATCGCACTGATCATGCCTGAACAAAAGTTCGTGAAATGCATTTGGCTCAAGTTCCCAAGAAGCATCTCTGAAAAGAAATGTATCGTTAATTAATACTTCTGCTTCTGTTGATGTCTACTACAAAATCTAAGAAATGTTTTTTATTTGTTGCTTACTGTCTTGGAATAAAAATTCCAAATTCTAGCATTGCTTTTTCAAATTTTTCTTTATTATTGCACAAGGGACACTTGAAGAAATAACCAGCACTCATAGCAAGTTGCTAAAACATAATTTCTGTTACTATCAAATATATCACAAGAGCTCATGAACTTACTTGAACACATCTTCTATGAAACCATGTATTTTTTTTACAACAAGGAGCCCATATTGTATTAGTTATATCTGCAGGATCTACATCCTCGTAACATATGTAACATTTAATGTTCGTGGTCGTTTCTAATTGATTTTTCACCTTAAGATCTATTTTCTGTTTTGGTCTGTGATTGTTACAAAATGACCTAGAAAATAATAATATTTATGTTGATATTATAGGGAAACAAATGCTTGAATAGAAGGCAAACGAAAAATATACCTAAATTCACCAAAGAATTGGTTTAAGGATCCAGCCCTTAGCCCACAAGGATAATGAAATATCCGTTTACATTTTGTATTACAACAACCCAAAGTGGCACCATTCTTTTTACAGTATGAACACACCTTTAAAAAAATAATAGTGCATATAACAAGACATTTATTCTTTTGCCTTTATTTATATATTTCTTTGCAGAAAATCACTTACCAATCGTTTTCCTCTGCGAATCTCTTTTTGTATATCTGATGCTAGAAACCCCAAAATGCCTTCATTGTCGCGTCCTTTCTGTTCCATGTTTGAGGATAACAACTGCAAAACATTATTATGTATTAAACACGTTATACTCCCAAAATTGTTGCATAAAATATGAATATTATGTAAAATACATACTAAGCAATAATAATGTGTAACAATATCCCCATGTTGATGAATCTTTCCAAATTCTATTTCATTGTCATCTGATAGCCCACAGAAGCAGCAGACCTTCTGATCAAGTGCTTTACGCTTCGACATTGTGTCCACTGAAGAACACAAACAAGGAACTTATAATAGAGCATAGCAATGCAAATTAATTGAATACTTGTACAGAAAATGTTAACAAAACATATTGCACGAATATTCAGAATTTTTACAAAAATGTCTTAGTTGTTTAAATAAACGTCTGTTTGATCCTGGTTTCTATAAAACTATCAATGAAAATAGAAAATTCCACAAACACCTGCAATTTAGTTACTGGAAAGGATTAATAAATGAATTCACATTGAAAATCATTCAAGGTATTGACTTAAATACCGACGCGAGTGTAAAGACCGACAATATTAAACCACACCGTCCACAAATAAAATACAAGTAACGTGCGTAATATGAACAACGAATACTTACCCGTAACGTCGTGTCAAGCTTAATGTACGCGTGTCAACATATATACGTGTATTAAGAGTCTTTTTTCAATTTTTTCCTGTATAAACACATGTTGAGAAGAACTTTCGTTGCGGCGCGTATGCAACTATCGCGATTTGCAGTACGTTGTCGAAAAAGCGAATAATCATAATGATGAAATGCCGCATTTAACACGACAGAGAATATATTTCTATAACATATTCCTGAGTGAACAGTCCAGTTTATGAGAATACGATGAATCTAAGCTTCGATGAATTATTGTTTAATGACAGGATTGCTTGTTTTTTTATCATTTAATCAACAAAATTACCACCTTTAAAAACTATCACTGCGCGGGAAAAACTTTGTAGGAGATAACTTGTAACGTAACTATCAACAAGAAGTTCACGTATTTCGGTGGTAACACAGATTCTGTGTTAATTGCTCCGGCAAGTCTGGCGAGTGAAACATTTCTAGGTTCAACAGGTTACACCGTTTTGTGCGAATAGCGTAGATAGGAATATCCCAATCCTTGTGGGAAATTATAAACCACTGAACACAGAGCAACACTGATCATTGATCAACACAGGCACAGGACAGTGTGATTGACACGATGATTATGGCGACGTTAACGTTCACCACCAGGGGGCACTAATGTCTCTGAATCCATTGAAAATTTATCACACAACATGAAAGTTTTTCAATTATTTAACTACTGTGTTTTAAACAATGTAAATATTATAATATGAACAGATATACAAGATTAATAAAGAATAATATTTTTACCATTAACAAATGCTAGACTGTAGATGTCATGTGTTTATGTAATACTATCTAGTCTAATATTTACAAAACATAGATGCAGTTTTAGGTTTCATCAGTGTATTAAAATGCCAATATTTAGTCGTATTCAGTAGCAAAAATGATCATTTATTCTTCTATAATATAAAAATAATTATGGACATGTAAATACATGTAACTCGTTTGAGGAGGTACAATGAAAATCACTGTCTCACGTTTCTTCTTTCTGGAAAGAAAATATCACGATTACAGATAATACTGTCTAAATATGGTATTTGAACGAGATCTCTCCGAGCCTGGGTTAAGCGATAAAAAATTGGACAGTCTAAAGATTCACATTTCACATCATCCAAATAACCGATGCACGATTGACAAATCTGAAACAAAATTTATTACCAAGAAAGTATTTATTTCCGTGTCGAAAAGTTGCAGAATAAAAACTTTATGCGTACTGTAGTTAGTTTTGAATGAGAACGTTCAAGCCACCTCATCTTTTCATGTAGAATGGTAACCGTTTGGCTTGGATTGCTCACGCAATTAGTACAAATATCCTTCTGCGTTTGATCACCGCAAGCAGCGCACACAACCGTGCTGAAAAATTGTCGAATTGTTTGTTTTTGATTGTCGGTGAACAAACTGACTGCTTTGTCAGGTGTTTGCCGATGGGACATTTCCCTGTACCTAAAAACGAATTCGTGTCGGATCAATGCTTCGAAAAAAACAATTATTAATGCAACATAGAAATTACTTTCTTGTACCATGTATGGACATCGATCCCAATTAGGTTTAAACAGCGATTAAGTGGCGGTATAATAACTTTGGTTATATAATATACTGAATTTGTATTTAACCCTTCATCTGAAATCACTTCCATTGGTGTTCGTACACAATGAATGAGCGGTTGGTTTGGTGCACCTGCTACGATCACATAACGTACTCGTTCACCGACACGAGGTATCGCACGAGGGTCTTTACGCATTAATCTCCGTGTTAGTTCCAATGCGGGTACACAAGCACTGGCTTTGTAGCCCTGGAGACCACGAAACTCCCTTGCGAATGTTAAGTCTTGAATTGATATTTTTCTGCGTAGAATTTTGTCGAACTGTCTGGTAACATACAGCTTTAGTAAGGAAAGATCCTTGGTATCGAACAAGATCTTCAATGATTTTTCAAGTATCTGAAATTTAACATTGATCTATCATAGATACATATATTTCAAATATATTTGCTAAACAGACGGTATATTATTTGTATTACTTTAGTCGCTGCTGGACAACCATCTCTACGGACAGTTTCAATACCTTTCGCCAAGTATTTAGGTTCTTTCTGATCGACAGATTCATACATGTAACCACAGTACCTTTTCTTGGTCTAAATATAAAGGAATATATTAAAATTGCACATTTTATCTATGAAATATTGATGGTACAAAGTGGAGTGTTACTTGTAGTATTGCTGGTTGTAAAACTTTCTCGAACTTCAGCTTCACAGGAGGAGGATTGGCTGCAGTAACAGTATCGGCAATCTCGGCCCCGACAGTGAATGCATCTTCTCTTGATTTTCCGGGTAAAAGAATAAACAACGAGTCTGTATCACCGTAAACAACTCGGGCTCCCCATTTCGGCGTAGACTCAACAATCTTAATTGCTCTTTCTAATGTTTCTCTTCCCTTACTAACAACGCTGTCTCCAATCTGACAAATTATAATTATTTCTATTAAACATATATAAAATAATTCATTTATGTACAATATGAGTTATAAGAAACAGAACGTCTAACTGCCTTTTGTGTTAAATAAAGCATTAATGACTTCACATAGACGTGTTCTGTTCTCATGACTCACTTTGTCTATCAAACGTACTTCGATGCAAGGCATTCTTCCACTAAAATTAGCAGAAGTGTAACCGTACGTAACGTTTGCGATTAATTTAAGACCCAATTGTTGCGAATGAAGAACACGCTGTAGTACACGGTTCTCATTCCCGTAGAGTTTCATGGACCCTTTCACCATCAATCGTGTATTTAAAATTTCTGCAAGCATGCGTGGTAATATTCCAAGTCGTACTTCTGGCGTTACAAAGGCTACGCCGCAAGGCGAGAAATTCATTTTCCCTTGTAATTTTCGAATGGTACTGCCTTTTAATTTTAATGTAGCTGCGCCAAACTCATATGGCTCCGACCTAGCAACAATAAGCAAATATAATCGTTACATAATTCAGCAAAGACATAAATGCTAAAAGTGAATATTACACTTACTGGCCAATATGTTCTATACGACCCAAACATGTAGAGTAGCAATAATTATAAGCGATAATAATGCTTGGGTATAAACTCTGAAAGTCGAGAACAATCAGTGGATCGGTATAAAATACAGACTGGGGCTCCATAATAAGAGGCAGAGACTCGGGCGCTCGCATTCTAGCTCTTTGATGCACAGATGGTGATATGGGAACGTAGTTCAAAGGTTTTGCAAGTCTCAGCATCATCGACTCGACACGGAACTGGGAACCCCGTGAGAAAACTTCATAAAATTGTATTCCAAAAAGTCGCGCATGTTCACACGTTCTTCCTAGAATGCTTTGTTACGTTAAAAAAATATAACAAACATTTTGTAAGCTTTTCGAACTTCGACAAGCTCACGAAAATTCATAATCTATTACAGTAAATCCTCGATGAGTGTTCGAAAGCTCCACTGAACATTAAATATTTCATCAACTAATGGCCACATGCGGTTAAAACAAATGTCATTGGTTTCAGAATTCCAACCTTTATCACTGTGCTGAATCTCATTAAAAAGTCAACGTTATACATGGGGACTTCTCCTTGTCAGAGCCTTGAGAAGCCTTCGAGCACTCATTGAGGATTTCCTGTATAATGTTGTTAGTATTATTAATATTTCTAGATTATTTTGAGCAATACCAACCAATAATATCAAGATGTATCAGTATTCTAAGTGTGCCTACAACTCTCACGACATAGTGAAAAATAACTCTCCATTGTATTGTTACATTGTTGTGCTTCCACCAGTCAGTTAAATGTTGAAAGGTCGGACATGCAATTCTTTCACGTAAAACATGATATATAACATTTTCAAATGTGTAATTCAATAACCCTGTGAAGAATATAGAGGCGGCGTTACGCATACGTTTTTACATGTTTCTAAAATGTATATTTTACCTATTTCATGCCGCATTATTCTCCAAACGTCGAGAACAATTCGACCTGGTATTTTTACATCGCTTAAGTTGTCTTTGTCCAATGTCTGTCCTTTTGTTGGAGTGACATTTGGAATTCTCGAGATTTGCCATGTAAGATTATTATAACCTATATGGGTAGCTCTTTGCATAATATAACCCCACGAATGTGATTCTATCTCCCAACCGATTAAAATATCTGGATCAGAATGCCTGATCAATGTTATCAAGCTATTCAATAAATCCTCTTCACTTGATACGTACGATGTTGGACATGTTGTACTGGTTGAATAAATATTTTTTATCTTTGAACTGTACGTGGAACAAGTTACCACAATAGCACCTGAATGAATGGAATACTGATATTATTTGTAACTAAGAGAGTTCGAAAAATGAATTCAGAAAGTAATATTTTTGTACATACCATGTTCTATTCGTTCAACGTCTGACGAAGATGGAACATCACTGTAAATAGCATAAAATATTGCTCCCATTGAATCATGCTCTGGATCCGGAAGAAGTTTGTCACGTGTAATAACATGCACTTCCAATGAAAATATTGTTAAATATTGATGCTGTAATAATTTATACAAAACACGTTAATAGTAGTCATTATAAGATTTATCATACACGAAAGAAGGTATTACTAAAGTAAAATGTTTACCACAGTTATGCCTTTGGCATTTTGAAAATTTTCATCCGCAACATTACCGCTATCTCCTTTCATAGAATATTCGATCTGTCCATAGGAAATTCCCAGATGTTGCTGTGAATCAATGTCTTTGTATAATAATGGATTTTCAAGCATTTGTCGTAAAGAAGGATTCAGATTAGATCCATTTGAACAATGCGAAGTGTTCGAAGTTTGCGACAGTTGCTTTGGCTGCTCGGTACCAATAAACGTTTCGTTAGCTGTATTTTTGATTGCAGTACTAACATGCCCTTCCACGTTTTCATTACAGTTTACATTCGGTACATTTTCTTCTCCTACCTTTGCAATTTCTATATTTGGCCTGTTCTTTACTTCAGTACCTGTATTATTTCGTTTCGCTAAATACTGTTTAGCTTGCAACCAAGTTGTAACACTTTTCGAAGTTGGTGGTTGAATCAGGGATTCAATCACTATCGAACTGTGTCCGGTGAGAACTCTTTTTATGTCACACGATTTGATATTCGACCCAGAAGGATAAAATTCATTAATTTTCACTCTGCGCCAAAGTTTGATACCAGTAACTCTATCCAAACTGGATTTGAAGGGAACCAAATCACCGATGTCGTTAGTTCTATTGGAACTTTCTTTGTGCTTTATAAGATCAACTTTATTGCTGAAAAAGGGTCCGCTTGACTTACATCCTGAAATATCATATGTCTTCGCAGTATTCATAATTCTCTCTCTTGTTGGTGGATTAAATTTTGTAGTGATAGTGATCAATTTGTTTTTTGTAATATCTCTTTTATTGTCTAATGACAAGAAGCTCGAATTCTCAATTTCTGATTCTAATTTTTTATTGAGCAGTTGCATGTACGTCATATTACAAATGTCCTTTTCATCTTCATCTACGATATTTTCTTCTTCATTTTCTTGCAGTACCTTACCCGATAAATTTCCTATACATAAATCTGTATTATTTCCAGATGTACTGGGTAAATGATTGTCACAATTCACTTTCTCATTCTCTTTTGTACATATTTTTATAAAATTCTGATCATAAGTGAAATTCGTCACAGATGCAACAGCAGAATCATCATTTTCATGTGATTTGTTCAGAATTTTCTCTGTTAAAGATAAATGTTCAGAATGTTTCTCATCAATATTATCCTTTACAGAATCAATTTCGTTGTCATTAGCATTCAAAAAACTTAATCGTTTACGAACCTCTTTGTTACTTTTCGGAGTAATATGTTTCACATACTTTGAATTTGATGTATTATCTTCTGCAACCTCCGAATCGACAAATTCTTTAACAATTTCGGTATTGTCCTGTGTAAAACATACTAAAACACATCATTCACATAATGTATTGCTGATAAATGTCGACCATATTTAAAATGTATCATTGATAAATGTTAACTATTTCTCGAACAATTATGAAGTCGCTTACCTTGTTTCATCCCAGAGGGTAAACCACGTATTTTCTCACGCAGTAAATTCATCCTTAAGTGATCTCTATTTCGCTTTGGAGTATCGAGGAGAGACTTAGAACTGCACGGTTCATTTCTCGAAGAATCTTTTGTTACAGAATTTATCTTTGCTTTGGGAGATATTACTGTTACATTAAGGGGTGAATATCTTCCTGACAAAGAACGAGGACTTTGTAAGCCTCTCACTTTAGTTGGCGTGCGATGAGATTCACTTTGCGATGATTCTGAACTTATGTGACGATGTTTTTGAGGAGACTGTAAACTCGTATCCTCGAACTCTAACTTCCGTTTTTTGAAAGAAACGTTCACAATATTTTGCTCATTTTTAGACTTTCCGCATGACTTATAAACGCATATACGTTTTTCTTCTCTGTCAATAGTAATATCCTGGTCCAATTCAGAATCACTGGAACTGTCGACTGCGTTACCATCAAACGCCGGTATTTTCGGTTTCATTGAAAGATTGTAACTCGTGAAACGCGATTCGTCGTAATCAGTTGTATACAACGAATTAGAATGATCAACGAATGATAGTGCATGATCTAACTCATCTAAATCATAAACATCCAAATCTTGATGGTTCCAATCGATCGCATTAAACGCGTTTCTAGAGTATGTATGAAATAAATCCCGTTTAACAGCTTGCATTCCCTTTCTTCTTTTACTCTTAAAACTACGTATTTGTTTTTTATTAAATTGGATGTGTATTGGAAAATTATTTATGTTAATATTAAACAATCTCGTATTAAATACAATTAATCTTGGAAAATGATATTCAAATAAAATCTGACATAACTTTCTGTTTATGTCTGATATTTCATGGGAATTAAGTTGAAATGTTATTATCATTTTCTGCAAAATATCGTCATATTTCGACATTTTTATATAGTTTAATCGGTTCAATATTATATTCTTGTGAAACGAATGCATAACAGTTGTTTCTGATTTGTTAGATACTTTCTTTTGTTGTTCTATTGTATGAATCAAAGGTTTTCTCTGTAATTGTTTTTCATTTTCTAAAAACAAATCATACGAACCATCAAACTGTGGAAAGTTTAGCAAAGAAATATCTTCAGTGTCATTTTCAAGCACAGCAGATTTTTCTTTTCCATTTGTAATTTCAGTTGTACTCGATTGACTGGCAGTCTTAGAAACTGTATTCCACGAACTAAGACTATCTAAATCTAAACTTGTAATATTTAGATCTTCGATTTCTTCATCTTCATTATCTTCTTTGATTTCATTACTCAATGCAGAGTACTGAGACGCAAGGACGCTATCGTCGTCCACAATAATGTCATCTTCGTTCGATTCCGCTAAATTAACTAACATTTCTACTAACTGCATATCGTCTGTATCCACTAGAAACAAATTAGAAGAAATGTTTACACAGCTATAATAATTCTATAATAATTTCTAATCTGAAAAAAAAGTAGTTCTTTTATTATTTTTACTTACAAACACTAGTATCTATGCTCTTGTCTTGTGACAAAGCTTGCTTCGATGAACATGATTTCTCAGATTTTAACAATTCGTTGTTTAAAAATTGTTCCTTTTTATTTTCTTCATCTTGTGTGTGTAATTTAAAATGATTCGACATATGTGAAGTAGTAAGAGGATTATCTTCACTTTCAACTTCTAATGGATAAGTAAGTACACTTGGTGTTACTGATGCTACTGTTTCACTCATCTTAAGACAGAAATAAATTGTCAATAATTAAGATGTATATTAGAATACAATACATATATATATGTGTATATTACATACTAGTATTGTACCTGAGAAATAGTTTGCAATCTTTGTATTAATCTTTGTTCTTGATAAATATCATTATTGGTTGGCCCATAAACTCTATCATTTGTGTTTGTATATAATAATTGTGATTCGGATTGCTGTAAACCATTAGCTACTCTTCTACACTTTTCATCATTCCAAATTGCTGCAATACCAGGATTCAAATCTAAACCATTCTGAATTTCTTCTCTGTTAAGTATCTCAGTCGCTTGTGCGTCCACTTCTAATTTGCATGTGCTTTGTCTAATCACAGATGCAGGAAGATATATTTGTGAATCGGAATTGGACAAGCTTTCGTTCTGAGAATTTTCTTTTGATCCCATTGTTATACGTTGCCTATATTTAATAATCTTCAAATTTATTAAGCTCATACCATAAAGATTATAATCCATCATAAATTGCAATATGAATGGGATATGAGCTTCGTATGGTTGATGATTTTGATTAAGTATTGTGCCATTCTGCAAGAATCAATTCATTATTATCCTGAAATAATATGTAATATTAAAGGAATAATTACAAATACAGAGATTACTTACTTGTAATAAATCAGCTGCTCGTTTAACCATTGCAGGATTGTAAAAATATATTTTAAAAAATAAATGTTCTTTCTCGTGATATCCATAAAGTGGACTGAAATATATGTATATTTGGGTAGTAAGAGAAGAAATAAAATATTTATATTACTAATAAGACAAAAATACTATAGCCCAGATTAAAGATCTATTCAGCCTGATATTAAGCTGAAATGTATTTCATATAAAATTATAAATAACAGCAATATGAAGACATTCCCTTACATTCCAGAAACTCGTTGAATTTTATAAACATGCTGACTTTTAGAGAATGCTGATCCCAGAGACACATTAATCGCCGAATCAATTGCTGCAGCTAATTTATACATAAAACTATCAACATTGTTCTCTATTGCACAAGGTATATAAATGTATGGAAATACACCATGTATATGCAGGCATGTTTTTATTCCTGAGTAAGAAACATATAACTGTGAGACAGATGTTATTGAGAACTTCTATTGATCCAATATTATAACATACCAGAAGGAGTAGACCCAAATATTCTAATGACTGGCACATGCTTAATTTCTGTTCCACGAAAATCTGAAAATGTTACATCCAATCCAGATACTGGAGCTGCCTGGTAACTGTCTAATGTTACCAAACTGACAGAAAACATGTTCAATGCCTACAAATAAAATATTCATTAATAGTTAGCATCACATAGAATAAAAATATTTACAATATTTCTTTACATGTATCGCACCTTGGTATTTTACTGTAGAAACAAAGAAACTCGTATACATTACCTGAAACTTAATGCCAGTAAATTCTTTCTGTTCACTCTTTACTAAATTCTCCACATTTCTATACAGTGAGATGTAATATTCAAGGTTATATTGACAATGCGTTCACCAATATTAAATTTCATGGCTATGGCAAAGTTTTGTCATGAAATGAAGATTTCAAAACATTTTACCATCATTTTACATATAACAAAATATCTCGTGCACAGAGTATTCATGTACTCGATGAATTCTGTACAACTAACAACCAACTACAGAATTTGATAGAATTCAAGTTTAACAGCATTTGACACAGCTATATATTTATGTATGTATAGTTATGTACATACACAGGGTGTCCCAAAATAGCTTCCACTTCCGGAAATTATTTCAGGGACCTACAACACTTTTGTTACTTACTGTTAACAACTTAATACTATCTATATTAAATGATAGTAAAATATATAATGTAGATATATGTGATGGGAATGCATGAAATTCATTGTTACATTTATAATATCTCTTTATTTTATTAAAATTCAACTTTTCTAAATATACTTGTTACGCACTCACATAATTGACAATACAAATTACATAAAAGTACATGTATTACTTTATATGAAGGCATCTGAACTGTTTAACAATGGTTTTATATGCCTAATTGAAAAAAGTGTTGTAACACAATAAGGCCAGTACATCAACAAGTTTGTAAATCCTTGTACAAACTACAATACAGTAACATCAGATATTTTTCTGCTACCATTCTGTGAACACTGTAGTTTCTTAAACACTTTATAAAATCAACGTTGTACAAAATAGTATTTTATTTTTATGTATATCTGATTGCAGATGTAATGTAAAACCTCAAATGTGTATATATATATATATATGTGTATATTTCATTGTGCGTTTCCAGGCCGATAAAATTAGAAAAATATGACATTAGCAAGTCTTCATGAGATTCTCTTTCTCACTGCATACATCCCTTATATAGAAAAATAGGTATTCATTTTTGCACGGAGGCAATAGTAATAAATTGACTCAAGCGTACAAAATTAATTAAATAGAGGACTGACTGTCGATAATACAAACACTAGTCTAGTTAATTATACAATAAATTAAATATATCATGCATCATAAAGCTCAATCATTCTGCATAGAAAGATTCATCAGATAATTGACAAACTCCCTTTACTTGTACGACCATAATAAAATGATGAAGCTATTAAATTTGAATGTCTGTCAAGGAAATTGAATTCATATTCCGTTTACTTCGAGCAAGTGAGCTTAAAGAATGATACATGAACTTTTTTCACGAAAGGGATTAGACTTTTGCGACGAGAAACCAACCAGTAGGCAATCCTCTTGCTCGTGCTCGGTAATATATTTCATGATATCCTCCACAGCTTTACTAACTGTAATCCGCTTCAAAGCAGCTTCGCGACGAAGCTGCTCTGTGATGTGACGTTGTTGTTGTAGGCTCGTAATCACCATATCCATAACAGTTGTGGGTAACAAGATTTTCTACAGAACCTTTGTTGAAATGTAAAACATTTTAGTTTAGTTAACACTTTAATATTAAAACTTAAATAATAGATCTTTTATTGTTAATGTTTATTAATAAGGATTTTATTATGTTAAAGAACAACTTAACATATTTCTATAGCTTTTAAGGGTACAACAAAATATGTAAAAAAAAGAAAATATTCGTTTCAAAAGGGCATATTACACATGGACAAATTTGGTTCGTTATTGGCTACAATATTACACTAAAAAAATATATTATTCCATTTAACAAAAATTTAATTGACCTTGAAATCTTTGAAAATACGATTGGAAAAAAAATCTCAGTTTCAAAATTTATCTTGTGGAAAAGAATATTTTCGTTTTTACACATTTTACTGTTTTCTTCTTACCCTTAAAAGCAACAAAGATATTTCAGATTCCGGTCTTAGGTGACTCATTATGTGTATTCTTGTATCCTATAACTATGTTTTAGTCTTCTTTAAAGCAATAGTTTTTTAACATTATGGGTACATCAATAAAGTTATTTAAATCATACAAAATAGAATTTTATTTATCTGAACAAAATTTCTTCAAATACCTAATTAATCAAATTTGTAGTTGAGCTTGTTTATTGTTAAGAAAAATGTTTTAATGTGAGCAATGTTTGTAAGTCCAGTTAACTATTTGGCAGTATTTCTAATAATAAGAGTTCAATAATTTTTAAGGATATCAAAGAATACCCCTTCCAGTTTTTGTTAGAAATTAATTAATTAGATCCAAGTTGACAAATAATGGCAATACAACATTTATTAAGCTTTCCAGCTAAAAAACTATTAACTTGTTGCTTGATAATTTATGTTTCTAAAAATATTGAAAGAAACAAACCAATTACTCACCAATTTTATAATTTATAAAAACGTAATTGCCGTTTTCCCAGAAAATTCTCAATGTTTACCAGAATCTTTGCAATATGAGCAACAGCAAATACGAGCCTATCCCTCAGGCCTGGTTCTCATGATAAAAATTCTCCCCAGTACCATTAGGGTCATATTTTTAAGACAATGTTGTTGATGTGTAAACTAATAATGTTTATGCTTAATTAAACTCTTATGGACTAATTTACAGAACTTGAGATCACGTAGAAATTTGTTTACTTTGGATTTCTTGGATTTTATCGGGTTCCACAACTTGAAGAAAATTTAAATTATTATTTAATAAACAGTATTCATGTCAATACGAAATTTGTTTTGTACAACTGTATTATCAATAAACAATTAAATATATTTAAGGAAGGCAATAAAATAATAATGAAATTTCATAAAACGTTGAGGCAGATACGTAATGTGGTATCTTGATCTAGTAAAATCTTTTACAAAGATTGTCTAAAGATGTCGCCTTCAGCAATTCTGAAGAATGATCTCGACTCTTCATCATTTTTGACGGAAAATTGAAGCATTGAAATATCAATTGTGAATCGCACGTGAGGAGATCTTTCAATTTGGAAAAAAAATGGCTATGCATATACCGAAAGCGCCGGGCATGGCCCAAATGCTTAAAGAAGGAGCCCGTGTAAGTTGAGAAAATCATTGACGGTATTTTACAAGAATAATTTATATGGCTTTATAACATGCTATCGGACCACCATCGAACAATGTTTTCTCATCGAAATGAATACGATGAACGTTACCTTTTATAGGCATAATACATTCGTCCCATACTTATATTTATATATTCATCGTACACTAAGGAATATATTGCTTTTGAACAAATTGAAATTTCTTATTTATTCATTCTTTCTGCCCACATTTCTATTATATGCTACCGGTTTATAGCCTATAAGTTGTCAGTTTAATTACAATGAGGGATAGAAGTATTTGTTCACTTTCGGAAATTATTAATTACACTGCAACAAATATTCTATTCGCTATAACGAATAACTTTCTGCATTTTGTTAACAGATTATTAACATTATTTACATATTAACATAGTGATACCAAAAATGATTATTATCTGTTATTTTGGTAGAAAATATACTAAAGTTGTATTCATTTGGCGTATTTATCAAAAGCATATTTATTGATTTATACCCACTAATCTTCCAAGGGCTCATGCTTCAAAATTCGTTCAGGATCATTTTACATCCTTCATGCATTTTTTGTATTAGTCATTGTATAAACTATATTTCAGATAACCAAATAAATCATAAGATATAATTAATGGAACAATGTGTCTTTTGTATTAGTATTTCTCTGGTCTAGAAGAAGCTGTATACAGAAACATACAAGCTTGCAAACAATTCATGCAAACTGTGAGAACTGCGTATGGACCTAACGGCATGAATAAAATGGTGATCAATCACATCGAAAAATTATTTGTCACTAATGATGCTGCGACGATTATTAACGAATTAGAAGTTGAGCATCCGGCTGCTAAATTATTGGTTTTAGCATCGAAGATGCAGGAAGCAGAAGTCGGCGACGGTACAAATTTTGTTATAATCTTTGCTGGGGCTCTTCTTGAAGCTGCAGAAGAATTACTACGCTTGGTAAGACGTTAGACAATGATTATAATCGTTGGTATTATCTATTAAGTTACTTGATAACTTTTCTCCAACAGGGAATTACTACATCTGAAATAGTCGAAGGATACGAAGCCTCGCTAGAGAAAGCATTAGAAATATTGCCGACGCTAGTTTGTTACGAAATAAAAGATTACAGGGACGAGAAAGAGGTAAAACTTGGAATAAAAACAGCCATCATGAGTAAACAGTATGGCAACGAGGATCCTCTTACTTCTCTTGTCACAAAGGCCTGTGTATCCATTCTACCTGAGAAAACCACTTTCAATGTAGACAATGTACGTGTATGTAAAATACTTGGTAGCGGCTTATCTAGCTCCGAAGTTGTACACGGAATGGTATTCAAACGGCAAGTAGAAGGAGACGTTACGAGAAAAAACAACGCTAAGATCGTTGTTTTTACCTGTGCGGTGGATATTGTGCAAACCGAAACAAAAGGAACTGTATTGATAAAATCCGCGGACGAACTGATGAAATTCTCTCGGGGAGAAGAATCTTTGTTGGAAAGCCAAATAAAAGCGATATCCGATAGTGGAGCTACTGTAGTAGTATCTGGAGGAAAGTTTGGTGACATGGCCTTACATTATATGAACAAATATAATCTGATGGCTGTTCGTATACCGAGTAAATTTGACGTTAGAAGGCTATGTAAAACTGTCGGAGCTACTGCACTTCCAAAAGTGGTAAATAATTAAATTCCATAAATGACTTTGTTCGATATACATAAAAAATCTTCCATTAATCATCTCTGTTTGAAGGTCCCACCGTCAAAAGAAGAATTGGGGTATGCAGACTCTGTGTACATTGACGAAATAGGAGATAACATTGTAGTGAAATTTGCAATAAACGGCAAGGACAGTCGTGTCAGCACGATAATCGTTCGGGGATCCACTGAGAACTACATGGATGATATTGAACGTGCGATTGATGATGGGGTGAACACGTTCAAGGGATTAACAAGAGACGGAAGATTCTTGCCTGGCGCAGGAGCTACTGAAATTGAATTAGCTTCGCAGCTTGTCACTTTCGCAGACACCTTGCCGGGTTTGGAACAATATGCAGCACGTAGATTTGCAACCGCATTGGAAATATTTCCAAAAACCTTGGCAGAGAATAGTGGAAGTCATGCCTCCCAACTGTTATCGAAACTTTATGCGGCGCATAAAGAGGGCAAGAAGAATTCTGGATTTGACATTAACGTATGTATTTTTGATAAATCTTTTGATACTTCAAAGTTACAAACACTTCCTTGTTAATAAGTAAAAGATTTATATTCTAGGAAAAAAGTACAGAGGTTCTTGATGTCGTAGAAGCTGGTATTTTGGACCTGTTCTTAACGAAGGAATGGGGGTTGAAATACGCTGTCGGTGTTGCATGTACAATCCTTAAAGTCGATCAAATTATAATGGCGAAACGTGCTGGAGGTCCAAAAGTACCGAGTGGCGGCGTGCGCGATGACGACGACTAATAAATATATAAAATCATCATAATTCTCAATCTTTGCGTTTAACTTACAATGTTGCATTTCATCGGCTTTCGGTGCGTTGAACTTCAGTGTTACGCGAGAAACGTTTTTGTAAAGACGTTCATGCAATCGTTTGTGCGTATGATGTTAGTGCTTCACACCATTTTTTTAACGAAACACATAAGCAGTCCACGAACAAAATTAAAATACACATTATTTTATACTTTCCTTAAAACATGAATGCAATTCTGATGTATTTAATAAAATTCTAATTATTGTACAATGTCCGTATTTTTTTTCCTCCACATTTTTCTGACACTATGAAACAGCTGTTAACTGTAAAGAAGTAGTATCTAAGAATTAAGCGTTATATTTTATAAATTTGATTTATGTGATATTTAGAATTAGAAAAATACATAATCAGTAGTTTTGAGAATTTTATTAGTATAATCGTTCATTTCAAAACATCTTAAAGTTGAGGTTAAGATAAGGGTTAGTTATCTAAAATAATTATCACGTTTTGTAGTGTAATATATATGATATCTATTAAGTCACACAATACAGGGGAAATGGTAATCATTTAATTAAGTATTTATGTTCATACGCATAAGGGATTGTGCAATTTAAGAACTGATAAATCAAAACATTTTATATGTACAAGACTTTAATGAATCACAAAAATTCTTATCTACCTATACATATTATAGTGATATCGACCTTATTTAGAGAAGATAAGGTCACTTATATAAGCCTTACCTCATAGTACTTCTTTCACTGCATGCAAATAATTGTAATTTCAAAGAGAACGAGTCACCATGAGTCTAAAGTTTGCCTCCAATTTATCCTTCATGTTTATGGAGACACCATCTATCATAGAAAGATATAAATTAGCAAAAGAAGCTGGATTTAAAGCTGTAGAAAGTGGTTTTCCTTTTGGTTTCTCTGTTAAGGATGTTACCGAAGCTAAAACAAAAGCTGGTCTCGAACAGATTCTAATAAATGTTTACACAGGTATATAGTATTTGTGATTAATAAAGAGGAAAGAGCTTTAGAGACACTTGTCTTAATTATATTTCATTGAAAGATTTTCATTATAATAGGTGATGTATCAAAAGGAGAATTAGGATTTGCAGCAATACCTGGGGAAGAAGAGAACTTTAAGAAGAGTATAGATATGACAATAGAGTATGCAAAAGCGTTACACTGCAAAAGGTAAGAAAATTTCATACAATAATGAACAACGATTTAAATTCTAATTTATTTTGCATTCACTCGCCAGAATCCATGTAATGTCTGGTAAAGTTAACCAGCCAACATCTGTTAACGATGACGTGTATGAAAAGAGTCTTTTATATGCAGCTGAGAAGTTTCAAAAAGAAGGAATTCTAGGTGTTATTGAACCTATCAATAGCATTAGTGTTCCCAATTATTATATGAACAGTTTTGAGAAAGGTAATTATATGAAAGTAATGGGAACTTTCATCGAACTAATAAAAAAAAACAGTTATTATTAATACAAAATTTGTATACAGGCCTAAACGTAGTGAAAAAGATAAATAATCCAAATTTGAAGTTACTACTCGATGTTTTTCATCTGCAGCATATTTGTGGCAATATTACAAAAAATATTAAGGAACTTCTACCTTATATAGGTATATATATTGCATTTTGTACGTACAAATAGCTATATTATTAATTACTACTGCAATTCGCAGGTCACGTACAAATTGCTCAAGTTCCGGACCGACATGAACCCGACACACCTGGAGAAATAGATTATAAATATGTTCTTTCTGTCTTGGAGAAGGAAGGTTACAGTGGATATGTTGGTTTGGAATATCGTCCAAAATCGTCTTCAGTGGAAGGATTAAGTTGGATGCAAAAATACGGTTATAACTTTTAACGATGATCTTTCCGTACAATATAATAATTATTGTATTTCTTCATATTACATAGGAAAATAATAAGGAACACTTCATTAAAACTACACGCATTTTAAAGTACGTCATATTTTTACAATTCAATTTTTATTATAAACATTATATATATATATAGCGAAATAAAATGCAAGCAAACTTTGTTTTATATTAATATTTGTTCTTAATATACTAAAAAAATGCCTTGCGTTAATTAATATTATAACATTGAAGTAATTAGTATTTATCTTTTGATTTATGTAAAACACAACATTATTCATAATGAACATGTTAGATATCAATAAATTTATAATAAACTGGCATACATTAAATTAATATAAGTTCATAAATTTTTTCTCCTATATAAGTATTGTAGTTATTGTTCGATAAGCTTATGTACTTTTATTCTTTCATTAATATTTCATAGCAGAGTGAAAAGTAAATACATTTGCACTATTCTGTATCATACTTTTACTATGAAATTTCCAGACGAATTGCTTGTATTTTGAACTATTTTGAAAAGAGAAAGTAGTATGAAATATAAAAAATCCAAAACAATATAACAGTACAAAAAATATGAAATATTCAAAAAAAGTTATTCTATGCTCGCAAAAACATTTCACATGTCAGCGCAAAAATTGGTGCATATATGTTTTAAAATGTATCATTGTTTTCATTTCTACCATAACGGTTTACAAAATTATTTATCATGTTTTGATCAAAATAATTGTAAGTGTAAGTACAATATATACTTATATATTTACTAGAAATTTATTAATTAAATTCCTGTTTTCATTTGAGTGAGTATTTGATTATAAAACACTCATTCAAATTATTAATAAAGCGACTGTAACTAATAATAGTATCGAACGAAATAATTTTCGCAATTTTTTTTAGAGACTACAAAATACATGTGTTTTGTTTTTAATGTAAATGAAACACAAAATGTTATATAGTTAAAAACAATTTTCTCAGTATCTTAGCATTTTGACAATTATATATATCTGTCAATCTTTCTCTATGGCCACGATAGTTCTATTACTGTTCAACATTCATCGAGTTTTCAATGGTTTATTACACATATTTGTAACACTCACGGCAGTAATTTCGTTCTATTATAATTTACATTTATCATCGTATCAATTATTTATACTTCAATCATAAATAAACTTTTAACAGCAACTTATTAACAATTGCGAACGAGGTCATCATAGATTGTACTATTATCAATGTTGCACATTCATGTCAAGAAGTTTGTGCAAATTATTTTGCATTTTAATTACTGTAATAATGTTCACCTAAATACATAGAACATACGTGGATGTGACGGTTGAGCGGTCTTTTAGTTATACAGGGTGAACTGGAACGGGTAGTACAACCAAAGAGAAGGTTATTCTACATGCAAAAACAAATAAAAAATATAGAATCAAATTTTTTCCTATTATATTTTGTTTTCAAAATAATCGAATTTGAAAATCTGCTGGAAGTGAATAGGACTTTTGTGTTAACTTCGTTAAAGTGTCTGTTCATTACAGTAAATCCTCGATGAATGTTCGAAGGCTCCTTAGCATTGAGAAGGAGAGGTCCCAAGGTGTAACGCCGACTTTTTAATGAAGTTTAGCACAATGATAGAGCTTGAAATTCTGCAGCCAATGATATTTGTTTCAGCCGCATGTTCCTCTTAATTTATGAAATATTTAATGTTTAGTGCCGGGGAGCCTTCGAATACTTATCGAGGATTTACTGTATATTCCGTTTCTACTTATTGTCAACATGAATACATGCATAGAAGCATCATGGAAAAAATTTTATTCTACATTTTCCACTTATTTTTGCATCTAGAAAACCTCTTTTCCAGTTGTACTACTCGTCCTGGTCCAGTATGTACGTCGAGGACTGAAACAGGACTGACTTTTGCTTAGGACCTAAGGCTTAAGTGATAAGCCTCTGATTCGGAGCCACTGATAAGGAGCCAACAAGGCCATATGAGTATGTAACAATTAGACTGTTAAACACCCAATGGAATAGTATTGAATGTAGTCTTTACATTAACTCTTTGCATTTGTACATTATTCTTTAAAAAGAACTTGAATAAAAAAAAAATAACAATTGATATATTAACAAACCAGAATGATGTTTAATGATGAACTTGTAACGACTGATAAGACTTTTTGTTTATAGAACAAAACTTGACTCAAGGAAAATATGTACAACTGCAGAGGATTCCTATAAAGACTTTAAAACCAACGTCTTGTTAGTCACCAACAAAAAGTTGTCTGTAATAAAGACGAAGAAAATTTAACTGCTGTGTCAAACAATTTCGGTTGCGTCCACCAGTGGTTGGTTCGCGTCTGCAGCTGTACCTATCATAGTAGTGCTGTAAAATATTTGAAATACATTTAATCAATCTGAAAATCATAAATATAAGCTTCTTAAATCTTATAAAAGATTGCGATTACAGGTTTAGTGATAAGCAACAGTGTAATGATAATAACAATTGCATCTCTCTCTTGCATTAGAATAAAAGAAAGAAACAGCATAAAATGTTAGTTTCTGCAAGCTGTGCAAAGATGAAGACATGTAAGATAATACAAAACTGAGAATTTTGTTGTGTATGATATTAAGGATTTTGTATAGATGATAATTCAAGTGAGTTTTGATTTTTATCATCTGGTTTTAATATTTTTCTTTCAAAGAATTCTGTTATATCAGACGTTAATTTCACCTGTGCGGGAGTAATGTTGTTTAAGTAAACATGTGTTTACGTCATTTAATATAACAAAAATTTCAAACTCAAAAATTTTCAAACTCAAAAAACGAAACAATATTTCAATTGCTCAAATATACATTTGACATTACCCAGTGCCAAGAGCCAAAACTGTTGATTCTTGTACCAAAGTCATTTGATCGATAGTGGACCTGTAGTCAAAAACTCTGCCTGAATATTACATCAGCTAAGTATGTACATGAATATGAATTTATATATACTTATGCAACACTTTTGCATAAGTATGAAGCTGTAATTGAAATCAGTTAAAAAAGATTATAGAAATATATCAGTAAATTTATATGTCAATATAAAATTAGTGTATTATATTGCAAATGTAACCAGAATTTGTAAAAAAAAAATGGGATTCATAAACTAACATGCTTATTTATTAATAAGTAAGCAATAACAATATTCCGATTTGTTATTCGTATGTAGCACAAAGAAATAAAATTGCTATAACCCATGGTAAACAGTATAAATATAAATATACAACAGACAAGAATGAAACTCTATACAAATTGTTAATAATAACACGTCAGTGGATTTAAATATATAAGAAATGTGCATTAAATCTCTAAATTATTTTTGTATTTATAATAAAAATATATGAAATACTATTACGTGATGGGGCATGCATATCTACAAAAATAAGCCAACAGTCATGCACAGTGATCAACTTTAAAAGCCAGAGATTAAGGACATATTAAGTGTTAATTGTATACAAAGAAAGTTTTTTATGTTCTATAAATACATAAAACTTTTCAACTTTATCGATTTATTCTTCTTTCGTTTAATTACAGTTTTATGGCGTAATAGACAATGGCATTTAACATGTTTATTTCATACATCAGTATTTTATATGTATCCTGTACACTGGCAAATACATAAGTGAAGAATGTAATAGTGTTTATTATGTAGTATATATATTCATACAATAATTTTTACGGACTTCTTTAGGCGTAATGTTTTACCTATAGTTTTATTATACAAATTACTTATTTGTACTAAGTAATATAAAAATGTACACTTCTTCCTAGGCATTAGTCTATTCTTTTATTTCCTAATCGCATTAAAACACAAAAATTCTTTTCTTAAAGAAAAAGTTGTGTAGTGGAAGTTGTACTTACATAATGTACGAGTTCATGGTAAATTCTTTATCGATTTATATTAAAAATCAAGATAGTAGTTCACGCTGGTTAAGGAATAAAATTATTAGAATACATTAGCCAATTAACGTTTGAAATCTATATACATTATAAATTTACGACACATAAAATCGTAATCCTATTAATATCTGCAGACATCTGTTTTTAATAACATATACTTTCTTATTTATATACTAAAGTATATATACTTTGATTAAATTCGTATAGATATTTCGGAATAAAGAGTTTACGTCAACTATAACTAATCTTTTGACTTAATTAGTGTATATAGTATTGAAAATGCTTGAAAATGAATACTACCATATTGTTTAATGAGGCAATGACGGTAACATATTAAGAAGAAAATGAAAAGGGATTCAAAATATAAGTTAACATGAATGTGTTAAAAGTTATTCGGAGAACTGAATCTACTTTCTTTATGGATGTAACGAAGAGAGTAATTGTGGCTAACGTGAGCTTTGTACCAGGAATACTGTAGCATGTGGACTAACGCACTGCCTCAAAGTAGGGATTCAGACTACACAATACCTGCTTGCGACCCATAGGGAGGTGGAGAGTCAAGCTCGGTCTCCTCACCCCACTGTTGGGCAGTATGCCCCAACAGAGTATGTGTGTCTTCATTGCACAGCCGTTCAGGAAAGTTTACCCCATCGCCAAAACTGTAACCCACACCCTACCTTCTACTTGATGTTATCCCATTTGTGTTCAGAGGTAGCGTAACTACTTGCCTCTGTGAAATCTATTGAGTCGAAGCTCATAATACACTACAAATTTTGTAGCTACTTTTATTACGTCAATGTTGGTTAATTTATAAAAATGATATTATAGTTACGCCACTTCCAATAATTTATTATGTATCAGTCTGTAAGAACCAGATGCACAATACTTTTCAAAATTGTACGAAATTTGGAATTATAACTGATCAATGCACGATGTGATGCATCTACCAAAAAAGGAGCACATGCATTGTTTAAGTATCAATTCAAAATGAAGCTAATACCTATTGTAAAAACCGTCTCAATTAACGATTATCTGCAGATTAAATGTAAGGACACAATTTTAATCCTATTATAAATATCGCCAGTTTACTAACACGTATGATTGATATTGTACAGAATTAACCGAGAATAATGATATATTTGAATGTAATCTATGAACTGTATTCTGCAATGTATCGTCTTAAATTAGATTTATATTGACTAGAGTTTTAAAATCACTTGACAATCACGTTTTAATAAATCTGAAAACATGTACGTCATAGTCCGACGTCAACAAAAGACACAAAGTAAACACGTATTTAGTTATAGTGCCAGAGTCTTAACTTCGTTAGTTTTATGTTATTATAAACGAAAAGTATAAACGTTAGTAATAAATTAGCACACTTTACGAGAGTGTATATTATGATACGGCTGTATATTAGAAAAGAAATAAAGGCACAATGGAAATGAACAGTCGCATGCATCCAGGAAGCAACATGTATGCATCTTCATTACTCTGGAACTCTATGTGAAATAAACAGGAGGGTGAAAATCATTGAAATAAGAGAAATCTTTCTACAAATAAATGTATGGAAATTGACGAAAAAAGAAACAAAAATATGAAGAAAATGTTTTACTTCAAATAAATATATGTAACAGCGATCGATGTTACTATTCCTTTAAATATGAACTGCCTTTCAATCAATGATACTAACGAGTTCCATAGTAAAGGTTGTAATGCAACTATTAACTTGAGACTTTAAACTTCTATAATGCTGACCTGTTTCGAGTACTGCCCATGGAGTCGTAAGTATTGGGTGGGCCTTGATGTTGCGCGCGTACTGGATACGTGACACCATTTCCAAGACTAAAACACATTTAACGCACCCATCGCGGTTTAACTAATTAATGCAGTTACTATTAAATAAAGTAATGCAGTATAATGAATGGAAATATTAACGAAAGAAATACTGAAAACCCTTGATACATTATTGGCAGATATTACCCATGTTCTGTTTCTCTACTTTGGTATGAAATGAAATGAAACGTTACTTTGCATGATTCTGATTTTTGTAAGGCAGTTTATACAATCTATACACAGTGTTTGTATAGAGAATAATTTTACCATTTTCTTCACTTTCATATCTTATCTGTGAAACGAGAACTTGTTGATGACATCATACTATCGCATCTACCCGATTCGGTGCATAAATTAGAGAAAGAATAGAATACAGTAAATAACGCTACAGGTTGAATACACGTATTTGTATAGTAATTCTAATTTTCTATGCATGATCATTATTTAGTATTTTCAATGTTCGCATGCTTTTTACATAGTAAATAAGCATGAATTGTAAGTACTTAAAAGAATCGCATCAGTTTTTCATATTGTGCAAGTGGTTCACAGTTTAATCTTAGAAACTTCGTATTATTTTAACGAAAGTATTGTGTTAAAAGATATACAACGTTTGAATAACTTTTAAGAAACCTACCTAGTAAAGACTGGAAGGAACCATAGTTTAGGATTATCGCCGAACACTTCTAGAAAATTATTGTACTTTCCAAGACTAAAACCATCTTTATCCTTTCCTGTACGGAACATAGGTGGAGTAAATGCCTCTGAAAAGATATCACAATTCTATAAATATCATGACTGTAGTAATCGCGAATATTACACAATATATGAAATGTTTTTTTTTTACTTAGCAGTTTTAATTACCTAGTGTCGACCTATTATGTAGAACCAGATAACAATGGTAGAGAAACAGAGAATTTAGGGTCACTGCAAACATCAATGACACAAAAAATAAGAACAAAAGATGAAATCTACCCATTCCATCCAGTTCTCCCTGTGCAATAATATTCATATTATTATAAAGATAAAATAAAAAATTTTATGTACTTCAGAGACTTAAGCCTTTTCTCTAGAATTTTTTTTATAGATTGTTAGACTTACCCTCCAAAAACGTATAAAATGTTGTAAAGATGTAGCGGTGATGAATATACAGTATAGAAGAGCATATGCCAGAAACAATATGAAGAATTTGTAATTGTGAAAGCCCACGCAGTTATTTACCCATGGACAATGGTGATCCATTTTTAAGACACATGTCCTGCACACGTTACAATGATGTGCTCGATCTGGCTTAATTAACTGACACTTCTCACAGAAACGTATTACTAAAAAGAATATGTATAATAATGCTTGGTGAATTGTGTTGTTAAAAAGGCTAGTTATTATAAGAAAATTTGATCATCTACTTATCAATCTCTCAATTTTACCTCCTTTAATAGTAAAATTTGTGACTGGAAGATCTTGTGCAAATCTGTCTAAGATCTGTCTTCGTGTTTCTTCTGTCTCAGCTTGCTGAAACTTTTCCATTTCAACGTCTGGTATTCTAAACTGTAAAAAAATTATATTACTATGGTAATTTTATATTCTAACTGTTACTATAGAATTTCACATTTACCTTGTCTGGTACTGCTATTAAATCTGTAAATACAGTTTGCCAGTAGGACCACAAAAACATTAAAAATAGGGCATGATAGAAAAACAGGTAAAATGCTGTTAACAAAGAAACATAATAGTATTAAGTTGGGCATTATTATTGCAGGAACATTATTTAACCATATTAACAAAGATATACATACCTTTCTGAACATAATTATCTATTTTATCTGAAGGAAGAAATATAAAAATTATTAGCAATATAACTAGTATATTATAAAATATAATATAGTAGCATAATCATATTTCTGGCTAAAAACATTGCAAACAGAACTTTCAAACTGAATACTTCAGGGGATATTCAATTATCCATTATGAATACTTCATCCACTATCGTAGTAATAATATAAATGTATATATTAAATTCATCATAAAACATTCAAAATATTTCCTTCTATTGGAAGCAAATGTAAAAACTTAGACAAGTGTACATGTACATATGAGCAACATCAATTATTTTTAATAAACACATCTATCAATTCATCAGTCACGCTGATACTCTATGTTAAACTCATATATGGGTTTATTGCCCACAAAGAGTTAAAAAGGTTTCAATATTTACACAGTATACATTACTCATTAAATTACTGACACAGAAAATTTACTTGTCTCTCTTTCTTGCATTTAGACTAAAACCAATAGTCTCACACATGTGTAAACATAAGTTGCAGTAAAAACTATGGACAAAAATTATATTGTCAAAACTAAAAATCATTTCCAACTCTGTCGGGGTTGACTTTCTTTCACTCGTATTAATTAAATATTTTTTGCTCAGCACAGCAATTGCTGTCTGTTTGCTCTGTAAGTATCGAACCGTTGTTTCTAAACAACCTATACATTGAACTTCGATGCCGTAAATAAAGAACGAAATGAAAAATAACATAAATTTATCAAAAAGTCAAATAATTATTAAAGACAATATAATGATAACAATGAGCCACACGGTATGGTCGGAACGAAAGTATTATAGTGGATGGTGGACACTTACAAAAACATAATTGCACCACATAAGCGTAATACGACCACACGATGGTCGTCAAAATAAAGATAACTGGTGTCCAATTCACGGTTTTGACGAACCACCAACAAGATCCGCCTTGTTTTCCCATTCTATTCACCGTTTTGCAAATATGCATTTGTCCCGACAACTCCGTTTATGTACACATTATATTCTCCATGTTCAGAATCATGTACGGTCGCGGCGGACACCTTGCATAAAGCACATACACGCAATCGGGGCTCCCATCGAAACCCAGAACCATTGTACGATAAACAACCGAATGTTATCTTGTTATCACTCCCTTCTAATTATTAACATTACAAATGTTTCTATCCAGTTAATTCTGAAGTTTTTTTTCTTAAACGGAAACGATATTCCAGATTCTGTTCTCGTACGGCAGCACTGTTTAAATCGAAGGCGCCCTGGCGTCTTCGATTTAACTAACAAATGTATATATATACTCTATATACAGTTAGAAATGGTGCAGAGCTCAAACAAACTATAATTCCATGAATTCTCCTTGAAATTAACCGTGATTAACGCGAGAAAGCTTCATTGGCATATATATATATATAGGGTGCCCCAAAATAATTTCGACTCCCAGAAATGAGAAGTTCCTGGGATGATTTGAACAAAGTTTTTTCTTGGCAAAAATGTTATCCGAGGCTTTGTTAACAAGATATTAACGAAAAACCACGACCAATCAGAGCGCGAGTCTGCCGGCCGAACTTTGATTGGTTGTGGTTTTTCGTTAATATCTCGTTAATAAAGCCTCGGATAACATTTTTGCTAAGAAAAAACTTTTTTCAAATCGTCCCAGGAACTTCTCATTTCCGGGAATCGAAGCTATTTTGGGATATCCTGTATAGGGGTATCAGATCTGATTGTTGATAACCATTTCTCTGTTTCTTCGTTCTTTTGAGACGCGAAAAAAACTAAACTACGCGTATTTCTGCAGTAACTGCTAATTTTTAAGTCCATGAGCAACTAAACTGCGAAACTCTAGCAAATACTATGTTGGCTGCTTGATACGGTTTACAAAAAATTCGGTAATGATCTTTAACACGAATAGACAACGTATGAACTGTAATTAATCGAGCCACATAGGAATTTTGAACTGTATAAAGTTGGTAGAGCGTGAATACAAATTCTTCATTTTATAAACTGCTACAAATTAGTACAAATATGTAGCTGAAAATCTAAATATGTATTTGCACTTGTAATATATGTATAAAATTATGTACAAAAGTTTAAAATACAAGTTCAATAGAATTTAATTTAGTTTCAGTTTACTTTTCATTTATTGAAACCATTGATAAAGGATATAAAATTTCATTTTTAATTTCCTTATATTTGCTTATAAAAATCCTATCAAAAGGCATTTACACATGTAGGTTGATTAGCAAAATAATTTTAGAAGTAAAGTAATTAAAATGACTAAATCGCGACTTTCAAATCAACAATGTTATGTTATTGTTTTCAATATATATTCATTTAACGCGGTAGTATTTGTATTAAAGAATTTATTATCATATGACTAGATTACAAATATGTGAAATTTGCGCACCTGTGCGCACATGCCTAAAAAAATATCATAGCAGTATTTTTGGCTGTGTGTTGCTATGTTTGAGTACATAGTTTCCTTTATTACATTTAAATTATTTACAGGCGTCATAAAATAGAAGTTTCTTGCTAGCTTAACATCCTTCACTTATAGCTTAAATATTTTAATAATGTTATAATATACTTTTACAGACTTCCCAATTCAAAAAGTACCATTATTGAAATTCGAGTATTTTGAAATCTGAATATGACCTGTGTTTGGAATTTGTAGCATATGGCCAAGAAAATTAATTCTAGAGAGCATACACGGATTTATCAATAATATTGAATATAATTTAATAAGTTAACCATAATACTCAATTATGTTAAATATGTGTATAATTTTAAGTTCCAGATGTTAATTATTACATTACTTGTTTGTAGAAAATATGGAAGTTTCTAAGTTTTATGAAGGAAGACCTCTATGTTTTCTTTTTGTTCTTGCATATGGTCCTATCTCTGGGTCCATAACAAAATCATACAATACAGAAGTCCAAGAATTGTGCTGGGGTAGATTATTGTAAAATTCAGGAGCTATTCTTTTTACCTGGAAGAAATATACAAGTAATACAAATCTTCACTGATATTGTTTTCATGTTAATTTAAAGTTTTTCAGCAAATCAAAATAATGTATCCTTGCCTCTGGTAATCTCGAACCAGGAACAGCAGGAAAATCATGATGTTCGTTATGATACCCAACATTAAATGTAATCCAATTTAATGGACCATAATAACTATAGGTCTCAAAACCTTTTTTGTACATATAATGTTCTGATACAAAATGACCAGCTACAGGATGTACACCCATTGCCATTACTGATCCACAAAGTAAATAAACTAGGACTTTTCCACCTGTATAATTTAATGAAAAGTTTAGTACACTGTAATGTACTAACTTATTAACCTCGTATTATCATTCCCAGATAAATATTTGCATATTTATTTTGCAAATATAAACTCACCTAAGAAATACCATACTAATCCATCAAATATGAGTTGTATCACTAAATTAATGTATTCCATAAATATAGGTGGTTGTGGGTAAACAAAAAGTGGTCTAAATGCATAGAAAAACGGCTGTAAAAACAACCAACAAAATTTTCCAAATGTTGTGCAAAATAATTTGGCCTCTAATAATGTTGGTAAATCAGTATCAAGTATTTCATCTCCTTGGTACTATAAATTACATAGCATAATAATTATTGACTTACACTTTACATTACTTCTTTAGAAGCAATTTATATTTTATGAATGTACTTACACGATGATGTATTAGGTGATATTTTTTAAAACTAATAGATACTGGTATACCTAAAGGCAAATTAGCAAAATATCCAAATAATCTATTAGCCATAGGTCTGGCATGCCCAAAGGCAAGATTATGTGCTATTTCGTGTATTGCTGAAACATATTAACAATCTATAAAAATTTGTAAAAAACCATACGAATATTAAAGACATTTAACATTGTGTTAATCTTTTAGAAAATAATTAAACTTGCTAGATAATTTCCAGTAGTACATTACATACACAATGATTTTATATTCAACAAATACTAATATAGCCTGATAAGAGCTTATATACACAAAAGGGAACATCTTGGAAATACACACATGAATTTCTTCTTTTACACTATCTTAATATGAGTCATGTAGTGTATCAATGTGGATTAAAATACAAAACACTTGAATTGATTCTAGCGAAACTTACCTAACATAAGAGAATGATTAATCACCCCACCAAAACAATATGCTAGTAGGAAGAGCATTGGATAATTTAAATCTTTTACAAAATACATAGATATCAGTTGAGTTAAAACCATTCCTGTGACTACCCATTTGAACATTGGATCGTATCCAAATAGTTTCTTTATTTGTGGATATTTTTCTGAAATCAAAGAATAATTTACATTACGAAGAGATACGTACGTAAATTTAATTAAGATGTAAGAATATGTATGCGTGTTGTGTGTGTGTGTGCTATACAGAGAGAGACAATTGCAGCATGCGGTTGTTGATCAATGACATCATTTTTACGGTACTTTACAGATAATTATTCAACGAACACCACTTATTGAATGAACATAAATGAAGTGATTGATGAAAATTAACACGTATACTATTATATAGTCATACCTAGAATCATTTTTCGCCGCGTTGCATGCGGCTCTTCCGTGTACACCCATTCGAAATCAGTCCTCGATACGTGCTGACCCATCCTCACATGAACAATGTGTTACTATCTCTACGAAATGTTTGCTTGTTAAATACAGATGCTAGTTGGCAAATAAACAAACGTTACTTACATCGATAATAACAACTGTACCGCCCCAGAGGATCTTTCATACCCGGCGGAATCGACAATGGAACTATTAATCAGTTAAGCTCTGATTACAGCGCAATCTATAACAAGCAATAAAAGCATACTACCTATACCTATACTATACTAAGTGTGCGCAAGGTAAGACTCGCGCAAGTTCAAGTGTCATGAACGTCACAATATTAAAAAAAAAGTTATCTATAGGGAACCCAACTTGTTTTTCATTCATTTCGTACTAATGCGCTCATTCTGCGTTGTAAAAGTTAGATGGATCTTTGTTAACCATCGTTCACGTGGAATAAATGTTATTTTATTGGAAATGATTAAACAGTCTCTTTAATGCTTATGACGATTTTTGATGAAATATTATTTAATTTAACTGTGCTTAGTACAATTTTATGCGTGAAACTCGTAGAAATTTGTAGCATAGTGGAAATTCTTTGGTCGACGTTTGTTGTTCTTGACAATGACTTACGGTTTTTATAAATAGAATTTGTGATTTATTCAGTTTGTACGAAATTATTTCACAGTAAATTTAATGTTTTTGGGAATGTAATATTTATAACAATTATATATTCAGGGTATGTTAAAAATTCCGCCAGCTGTGTTATAATGCAAATTGTTATTTGCATTATAAAATTGATATATTTAGAGATGTAGAGTAATAACAATTAAAATGTTTATATTGTAATGAAGTTTTAAAAGTGAATAATTTGTACTTTACCTTCTAAGTAGACAAGTGGCAAAATATATACATATATTTTTGGCATCATGTTTCATAGGTGTTATATTTGACCTCTAAACTGGAGCAGTAAGGTTTAAAAAGAAATTTAAAATGATACCATTGTTTGGTCCTAAAATTTACAAATAATAAATTTTCAATAGTTTATTTATTTTCTGTATGTATATGTAGTTCTACAAAGTGAACATTAATTAACATATTATATAATTGTATAATATTAAACGTAATAATGTTCATTTTCCATGACTAGCATTATAAAAGCTCCTCTTTTCGATATAATATTTTTGTCAATTTTAATGGATGAATTTTTTACCTTAATCATTTTGCTTTTGGTAACAATGCCTTTAGACGATGACCATTTTAAAACATAAGTATAAAAAAAATGGTACATAATAAACTAGAATACCTAAATAAACTACAATAATCGTAATTACGCTGTTAAAAATGAATATATGATAATTGAATCTAAGTGCTAAAATATGAACAGAATGTTTCTATACGAGTTTACACCAAAGAAAAGAAATGATGGTCTCCGAATATTATAATTTTTCATGATCCGCAAACGGGACAGCTCGATTAAGCCACTAAATATTTTGGCTGGATTAGATGTCTATATTCTTAACAGTAAAGAATAGACACAATCCATTAATGGACAACTAAGCACGTTGTCTTCGATACTTCCTTCTCCTTCTTAGATACCATTTTCTACTTTTTTATGCTATGACAGATTTCAGTTACTCATCTATCGCGTAATCAGAAGCATATCTCTACAATGCTTTTGTTCGGTGATTCTCTTTGGTCTCAGGACGAGACTAAAGATAGCATTACTCTTGCCGGTACAACCTACTCTGAAAGTGCTTTTCCATTATACGGATCATAAGCGACTGCTTGGCAATCCGAATATATATATTTTCAAAATAAATAGTATTAATAATAAAATAAGTTAAATGCTAACTTATATACGAATAACGTGATAAACGACTAGCATAATGTATGTATATGTATGGACGGACTGGGATTAAGTAGATTTCGTGAATCTTACCTCTTATGTAATTTTAACCTGGTACGGTATAGAAATAGTTTAAACAAAAAAAAACCCTTTTACTAACGAGATCATGTGGACCATCGGAATAGCTTTGATCGTGGTACCTACAATATTGTACTGTGACGAGAACACGTACATAAAAATTTCGAAAGTTAAGTGACTTCCCTACTTAGATGCTTTCGAATTTTTATAAAAAAAGGTACGTAAAAACTTCGATAGATTGAAGTACTGTTATAAAAACTGGTGACACTCCCTAAATTTGTAATATAGCCGACACTGATCTGAAGTTTATGCGGATGACGATTACTAATATCCAGATTCTACATGGCAATGAACTTTAAGTACACTTGCGACTAATATGGGTTACATTGGACCATGTTCCCAAGAATGGAAGAATCGTTTATACACTATTCTTCCAGTAAATATGATTAAACATTGGCAGTTTTCATATCTAATTCAGTCTGAAACAGAGTGATAATTCATTTGAGCTGTGCTGGTGTGGAAGATCTATCGTAAGACGTTGACGGAGGTAATGCTAATGACGGTGGTAAACTGGTGGTACTTGTCAAAGTAGAGTCCAGCTTACGAGCTTCGTGTTCTAATAATACTGCGTCTAATGATGGATCTTGTGCTACTGTTCTCAACGAGTCACCTAAAGCCTGTCTTAGATGTTGCATTTCCCTACCAGCTCTTGAACTTCGCAGGACGTATAATTGTCGACGTTTTATTTCTTGATTCAGTTGTTCCCGTAGCAATTGAATCTATCGTTCACACAACAATTCAGTAAATACCAATACCGATACAATGGACTCTAACTATATTGCTATGGTCGGGGCTGTAGGGGAGTAAAATGACAATGAGTTTAGAGCCCCCTTCATAAGTTCTATCGTTAAAGCCTCAGCATCTGCGCTACAGCTGGTTGGTGGGAGGGGTAAGTTCCTCCCGTGGCAATATAGTTAGAGTTCACTGTACTTAAGACGGCGGAAATTTCTTCATTTATAAAATTGCACTAAATGCAGACACAGTGAATTGTAACGGAAGTAATGCAAATTTACACAAATATCTGCAGATTGTAAGTAGAAGTGACAAGAAGTACCTGATTCTCCAAACGTAATACTTGCTGACGATGGCTCTGTTCTCTTGCTTCCAACAATTTTTCTGCCTGCAGTTGGGCAGCTCTAAGTCTCTCAATTTCACCCGTTCTATCTCGACCGAAATCGTACATTGAATGACTATGAACGTAACTGGACTTCACTCTTATCAGCTCGGCTTCCTTTTCCGCAAGCTGTGTTTCTAATCTACGGACTTTCAATCGTAATTCTCGATTTTCCTGTTCGTAATGATCCACGTCGAAACTCGTGCCCAATAGTTCTGCGTGGGCCTTCTCTGGCCGTTCGTAGCTCTTACTACGAACGCTGGTTGATTTAACCAATGATAACTGTCGCTCCAAATTACGTTTATCGTTTTCCAACAACTTCACCTACAATACGATAAATTTATCAAAATACCTTTAAATAGACATGTATAAGTATTTTACCTTATCATTAAGTGCGTCCACTTTTCCTCTCATCTCGCTCCTCTCCCTCTGTGCTGTTTGCAGCTGACGCAATAGCTCCTCGTCCTTATTCGTTGTGTCCTCTTGCGGATAACTGACTATTCTTAATTGCGACTCTAATGTGCAGCGTTGCACTTCATTGTTCGCCAATTCATTCTGCAGACGATTTATTTGATCCGTTAACGTTTGATTTGTACGCTTTAGATCGCTCAAGGACTGTTGCGACGATTCTACGCGTTCTGTCAGAATTCTTCGCTCGTTTTCAGCATTCGTGAGTTGCTTTTGTAACTGGTACAAAATTATCGGTACAATGATAACTCTTTCTAATTCATTAAAGACAAGAAACCGTAGTTTCATTTTTATGTACCTGTTTGGTTTTTTCGTTAGATGTCTGCAATGAAGTTGTTAATTCGAGAACATTACGTTGCAAAGAATTAATTTCGCTCTTCAATTCGGTTTCTGTGTTCGATGCTTTTTCTAACGCTAAATTCAACTGTTCTATGGTTGATTTTAATGAACTACAACGTTCTTCTAAACTTGCCATAGCTCTACTCTGCGTTTCATTTCTTTCTTGCAGTTTCTGTGAATGATTAACAAAGATGTAATTTTTTTTTTAATTTTTGTGAAACAAGATTATGGATTAGAGGAACGTGTACATACATGAATATTCGTTTCTTTCTCTTGAAACATCATTTGCAGTCTTTGGAGATCACCTTCTAACGACATTCTTTGTAACTCTAGCTTTGTAGCGCGGGACTCACTTCTGTTAAGCTCCTCTTGTAAATTCCGCTTATCATTCTCCATTCTGTTCAAGGCTTGTTTCAGTTTGTCTAACTTGTCCTATAAAATTAATCATAAAATAATAAGGAAAGTAAAACCGTTATTCGTTTGAACACATGATACTGTTACCTCGTATTGTATTTTCTCCTCGGTACAATTACTAATCGTTAATTCAAGATTCGCCACTTTCTCGCGTAAGTGCTCGCATTCCTCAGTCTTTTGTTGTAAAACGTTCAACTAAAATATCTTCGTTAGTAATTGAATAGATATTACTGTTAAAACATTGTACGTAAACTATACCTGCATTTCGTAACTACCCTGTCTTTGGGACAGTTTCACTTCCAACGAATTCTTTTCATCCTGCAGATGTTTGATATTAGCCAATAACGTGTTTATTTGACTATCTGACTTATTCTGAGTTTCTTGAGTTTCCGTTAACTGTTTTTTCAAGTTACACAATTCCGTTTTATAATCATCCTGAAATTCGAACAGGTATATAGACAGTAGAATTAAATAAGAAATAGTTGTAAATATGGTAACAAAAGGATTAGTTACCCTTTCACGTTCAATTTGAGCCACCTGTTGCATAAGAGCTCGCACACCCTTTCTAATAGCTTCAGGATCAACATCGAATATAACATCTCTGCTAGAATCAGCATGCTCTTGAGCTGAATTATAAGAAAATCACATTACCGTTCAATTTTTTTTCTTTTCTACTAATTTATTAGTTATATTACCTCTTGCTGGGCTCCATCTCCTCGATGGACTCATCAATTTAAAAGGCATGTTGACACTTCCATCCATTTGAATGCCGGCGATACGACGCAAGGTAGAACCAACGCTATTCAATTTTTGCTCGACATCTTTCTTCGCCATTTCCAGTTGCGACAGCTGAGCATCCAGGGCTCTAACACGTCCTTCGGATCCTCCAAGTCGCGCCTGTACAGCGTACAATTAATATTTCCAAAGTTTCGATTTCGAATTTTTATCTTACTTTCAGTTCTTGAATCTGCTGGGACGCGTCGGCTAAACAAACTTCCAGATTATGTTTCTGATCTTCGAGTTTTCTCTCTCGGCATCGACAATCCTCAAGTCGAACCAACAGTTCCTGTTCCCTCGTTCGCCATCTTTCATCCTCTTCGTCAGCACGGGAACGTAGTCTTCCAAGCTCTTGCCTTGTCACTTCTAAACTGTTGTCCACATCTACCAACTGACCAGAAACAGTTGAGAAATGAAGATAATATGTATATGACCTGTTAACCCCTTGCCCTGTGATTTTTTCGATGTTTGCCAGTCTCCAGAATTACTTTATCATCAATAATTCCCCAGAAAGAAAAAGAATTCGTGTGTCTATGGCAATTGTACATTTACTCTAAAAGTGAAATATTAATATCAGCGAACTAGTATTTCACTTTGACTCAAAGAAAACGAATGATATTGATGTTTGTTGAATCCATTTTGGTATCGTCACCACGAGTCTGACTCGATGTTACAAGGCAAAGGATTGCAATACTCCGTGCATTACCTGCTTCTTCACTTGGTGCAGTTGCAGCTGCAAGCGTTCCCTTTCTTCTGTTTCGTTTGTCAATCGTGCTTGTAATTCTTTTTCATCGCTTTGTGCTTGTGCGTTGCTCTCGTGTGACTTCTGCAGTTCATCTTGCGTGAACCGTAATTGCTTCTGGAGTTGCAACGTTTCACGTTCCATATCGCGAAGTTGCGCCTGAAGACGCGATCTTTCCGCGTCTATAGTCACTTTCATGTCCTCCAGAGCTTTATAATTATTACACACACAAAACAATTATCAACAAAACAATCAACTGTGACAATAGTATTTATTTATATTCATCGTTAGAATAAACTGTAAATACCAGCAATTTTCTGGTACGACTCTTCCAATGTCCGAGTCTGTTCCCTCTTTTCGCTCTCGATACGTTTAACATGCTCCCGTAATTCTTTGTTACTGTTATGATACTTTTCTTTCTCATACGTGGACTCGGCTAATTGTCTTCTAACATCCACTAATTCTTTGCGTACGGTTTCGTTAAGATTTTCAGCTGTGAATGCACAATCATCACGATAATGTGTTATCACCAGATAAGTATTGAAGACACAAATAAAGCTTACCATCTTTCAGTTTTCGCTGATTCACGTTCTTTCCAAAGTTCTTCGATTTTTAAATCGAGCTTTATTTTCTCTTCGTCAGACCTCAACTTAGCCTCCTCTAACTTCGTCTTAAGACGATTCAGTTCCTCGCGTAATTGATTGGTATTATTACGTTCTTGCTCAGCACGCGCCGCGGCTTCTCTCTTTATCCTTTCCACATTGTTCTTCTCTTCTTCCATATCTCGTAAAACGCTTTCAAGCTTCTCCATTAGCGCTTGTTGATCGTGATGAGCTGTGAAAAAAACATACACAGAATCAGTAAAACACAATACAATTTTATAAACACTTTGCCCTTTATAGGTGTATTTTCTACCCATAAGAAGAGCTTGCTGTTTATCGTTCTCCGCTCGCAGAAGAACTTCTTCGTGTTGTTGGCACAGATTTTCAATATGCTGCTGCATTTCATCTATCCGTTGTTGTAGCTGATTAATCTCGTTATCTTTATCTCCACTAAGTTGCAACAAAGACTGTTGAAGTCGCTTCTCTAGGTTTATTTTGATTTGCTCCTATAAAGAAATTTAGTCAATTTCAGTTTTAAATTGCGTCGCTAATGTTTGTACGTATGTGTAAACCTATTACTTTTTCCTCGTTCAATTTTCGAATATTATCTTCACTGTGTTTCTTCATGTTTGAAATAATGTGGTGGAATTCAGCTTCTTGATCGCCACTTTGCTGCGTCAATGTTTGCTTCATTTCTTGAGCTCGTTTCTCACTGTTGTCTAGTTCCTTGACCAGTCTCTCTACTTGTCCTTTTAGGCTCTCCTGTTTGACTAACAGTTCCTTCTGTTCTTTTTCTAACTGCGTCTTCTTCACATGCATGTTTTCTAAATTAGTTTGCGTATCAAACAGGACACCCTCCAGCGTTTCCTTTTCACTGCGCATCGATGCAAGTTGTTCTTGCAATCGTTGAACTTCTTTTTCGTTAGTTTCCAAAAGTACCTGCACCAATATGAATATACTGGTTTATATTTCTACAACACCTTATACAATAATTAATTCCACCAACCTGTTTCTCTTCATTGTCTTTCACAAGATCCTCCAAATTTCGATTGATTCTCCCATTCATTTCATTTGCCTGTTCCAATCTCTGTCTGACTCTCATCAATTCTTCATTTAACGTTTCTTTCTTTCGCGCCAAAACCGACAATTGATTGCTCAGATCCCCACGTTCACGTGTAATCTGTGCTAATTCTATTTCGATCTTCTCCTTTTCAATTTCCAAAAACTTCACTTTCTCATTCAACGTGGCTTTCTCCGATTCCAAATCGAGTCTAGTCTGTTCCGCTTGAAGCAGTTCCTTTCTTAAAGAGCCCAAATCACCTTGCTGATCCGTACACTGACTTGCCAACTTATTTTTCTCTTCTGTCACCTGAAATTCACAGTACATTGTCAGTAATTAGTACGTTAAACAGTGTTAAGAAAATATACCTTCTTCAGTTCTTCCTGCAATCGTTGTTTCTCTTGCTCGTGATTACTGTAAATTGTTTCTAACTTCATTAAAACTTCTTGTACGTCCGACTTCTCCAATATTACGCGTTCTAATTCTAATTCCAAGTCACCTAAGGTAACAGTGAAAATAACATTAATGCATGAACAATATATAACGTGTACATAATAAATAGTATGCGATTTTTATAGAACAGTACCTTTACTCTTTTCAATTTGTGAAATTAAACCATCCGTTTCCAATTTCTGTTGTTCCAACATATCTTTGGCAAGATACGCTTTATTCAATTCTTCCCGTAATGTTAACAACTCTTCCCTCATTTTGCTACATCGGTCTTCCTCTGAACGGAGATTCAGTTCCCTAGTAATACAATGAATAATCGTAGCAATTAGGCAACAATACAAATTACGGTTGTTAGATAACATACCTCAATTCTGTTTCTTTGGAAACTCTATTCAATTCGCTTTGAAGATACAGTTTCTCATCCTCGAGATTATCACAGAGTTTTTGTAATTTGTTATTAGCTTTCTGTAGCTTTTCGTAATCGTTGTTCAAAGTCTCCATCTAAAAACAAGAATACTCCATATCGATATGTATATTAACAGAAGGTACATACACGTTTGTTCGATAGAAAGAATCTTACCATACTGTTGATTTCAACTCTACTTTTGTCAAGTGCATTTTTCTCCACCCTTACGGTATCAAGACCCTTTTGTAGCATATCTTTCTCTTGACTCAGTTGTGAACACTGCGACCGAGCGGAATCCAATTCAGAGATCAACTCCTCTACCCGTTTCTCTAAGGTTTTAATATTTTCTTCGGCATTTTCGCATTGTTTTCGAGTCGTAACCAATTGTTCCTTGTTAGTTTGTAACTTTACCTATTACAAGAAAGTATTCGAACACGTTATAATATGAAATATGTATTGTAAGTTCTCTATAGGATGAATGTTATGCTCTTAGAAGTTTTCAAAGTATATAATATATAGACTACGGATTTTTATGCATAATGACATTTTACAAAGTAATTCGCACAGACAAGAACAAATATAGGAACTTCTATTTTTTTTTAAGTATCTTATTAGATTCAGACTAAAATAGAAAACTCATTGCATCTGAGTAAAGTTTTGTCTTTTAGTGTATGTCGCAGAGCCCCATATACACTATAACTGCATAAAATCCGCAGTTTAATAATATAAAATCGTCGCACCTGGAGCTCGTGTATAGTCAACTGATATTTATGTAGAGCTGCTTGCACAGCACTGATTGTACTTTCAGCAAAGGCTGGAATGGCGTTACTTCTTGTACCTCTTTTTGGCGATCTTTGAGGAATAGGAGCGCTGGGGGATAGATGCAAGTGAGGAGGCGCTTGAGTACTTTCAATCTCTCGAGCTTCTGCATCTTGGATCACCGCGTGTGCTATGTCTCTCAATGCAGATTGTAAAATTTCCACGTCGTCCTGTATACGTCCATTGCGATGCACTTCGGCTTCTGCCTCCCCACATTTTTCTTCCTAAATGTAAATATCAATTATTACCATTACAAACACCATTTGTTATTTCTGTTTAATAATATTTTACTTTTACGATTTACCAAAGTATGGACATCTCGAATAAGCTGATTAATTTTTTCTTCCTTTATACGAATCTCATTTTGAGCTATATCATACTGTTGCTTAAGGGTTGTTAATTCGATTTTCAAGTCGGTTGTTAATTGTTCCTGTGCCTGTTGAACTTGTGGCGATATCTAATGTACGAAGGAAATATGTGTATGGTTTAGGATAGAGAAATATTTTAAATTACTAAGGGGATAAGTTTACCATTGGCTGTACAGCTGCTTGCATTTTCATAGCGAATCCTGTGTTACTACAAGCCGATGAAACGTCATTAAAAGTAAAATTGATACTATTTTTCATCTTTGTTAAGTCTCTTTCTGTATTAGATTTTATCTCTGCAAATAATCGTTTTACAGAGACGACATCGCGCCAAAGGTTTAATAATCTATTGTGCTCTGAAGTATAATATTCATTAAATGCTTGCTCCTCTTCCCTCCATTCTTCTTCTTTAATAGCCAATTCTTCTCTCAGTATGTCCCAATCATTACTTAACTTCTGTAGGTCATTGGTGAGCGCCTCGTTCGTTTGATGTGATTCTTCCAACTGGTCTTTCAAAGTTGTGTTAAGTTGTAACAATTTCTCACATCTACGCAAAGTATAATGCTTGTAAACATATACACACTGTACTCTTAATTGAAACTGTAGCAATAAAGTGTTACCTTTTACGTTCCTCTGCAAGTTTCTTTAGGGCTGTATCTAAATCATGAATCTGTTCGTCACGAATTTCTCTTAATGTCTGATGTGCTGCATCTAAAGGAGTAGTGACTACTGGTACTGAACTTGAAAGTTTATTAGAATCAAATGCACCAGATTCTACCATCTGATTCTCAAGTTCTGAACATCTTTGTTTATATTGTAAGACCTGTAAGCATAGATTGGTGCATAATTATTGGGTATATTTATCAATTGTCAAAAAAGATATAAATGTTACTTTTGCTTGCAAACGCGAAACAAGAGCTGCCTGATGCTGCTGTGCCTGCCTATATGTATCCAACCTCCTCTTATAATTAGAAGCTTCCTCTTCTAGTCTGTGACGCAGTTCAAAATTCTGTCTGACTAATGCATCTGGAGACAAATCATCCTCATCTACACGATCACCTGCACCACTGACGATAGTTCTTGAAGAGTCCATTTTACTACCTGCGTTCTTGTCCGTCTGTGACAAGAATAATTTTAGCTGCACAAGATTACTAAAAATATGTTACAAATAGATATTGTTATGAAATAATATTAAAATGTTTAGAAACAGATGTATACCTTATAGAATTCTAAATTTTGTGTATATCACATAGTTCGATTTAGAACGTACCAACATGTCATAAATTATTCATTACAACATTGTAAAATAAAAATTATTTAATATTGTACGTAAAATTAAATAGAAGTAGAATATTAGTCTCTGAATATAATTACTACTTTATTGATATCTATATTACATTCTTATTTATTTTTCAGTGTTAAACGGGCTATAATAAAATAATGTAAGTTTTTATTGAAATATAAAATCATGTACATTTATATATTTACGGGTATATATATTTATCATCCAGGTTATGTTTCTGTTTATTGTTTACCCGCCGGTTGGCCACGGTTGGCAGGGTGCACGGAAATTGCTCGCACGAAAGCAAACATGCAATATGCGGTTTTAAGATAGCGTGAGTTAGTTACGGTTCTACATAGTGCATCTACAATGCACGACTTTTAAACGTATAATCAGAACTTAAAAAGTAGTTAAGACAAACGTTAATTAACATTGTAACTAGACTACGAACGTTTAAAAATATGTATTTATGTATACAAATTTCTGAATGAATTTAGAGTGTTAGAAATTAAATAGAAGTTTTAAAAAATATATAAAATCTGCAGGCTAAGTCCCAGATAGCACATGACGCCTTAAAGACGCCCATTTTACGGCTATTTTAGGTCTAAGGCGCCTTTAAGCCGTCTTGAAGGCGACATTACGCGTCATGTGCTGTCTGGGAAGTGGGCTTAGTAAGGTCTTACCCTTACATCACTTTTTCTCCTAGCAGACACCGAGTGTGCTCGCGAGTATACAATCAGTCTATCTAATATATAATATTCAGTGTGCGAAATCGTTGTAGATTTTGACTTCAGTAAAATTATCAGATATGTTTAAAAATATTGCTATGGAATATATTTCAGACCAAATGTGGAAGTAGCGACGATCGTTTGTCAAATCGTTTAAGTAACGAAAAAATCTTCCCAAGTATAATGAATTACAAGATTTGTTCAACCAAGTGTGTTCTTAAAAATTAATGAATCGAAAATACCTCTTTCGTCTTGTTAGGCCCTCTTAGAAACGGTGGCCGCCGCCTTTCCATCTGTCCTCTCGTCGACAGCTGTGAAACACCTTTGGACAGTGGCTGTAACACGTTTCGTTAAATCTCAGCACATTTTTACAAAACTCAAATATTACTCAAACATTCCCCTGTCGACATTTTCAAATGTATCCTCATAACTTCTCAAGAGGTAGACGAAAAAAATCGTTCATTTCCGAGAATCGTCGTTGCTGAGATAAACGATAATAAGAACAAAAAGAGAAATGCATAAACTGATAACGAGGAAGCTCTGACATTAAGTTGACACGACGCCTGTGTTCTACAGTACGTATATTCGTTCGAATTCCGCTGCGGTCAGCTTGATCTCCGCGAATGGATGGCAACAGGACAAGCTGTTATAAAAAGTACCGTTATCGGTTAGCAAAGACCAATTGAGAATCCCCTATGCTACTTCGAATGTTCTTTCTTCCTCCAGTTTCGAGTCTCACTACCGGCCTAACGATCCTCAGAAATCGTTTTCCACCCTGCGTCCACGTCCGACAAGAATCGAGGAATGACCGAAGTCGGTAGACACTTCCGGGCAGAGTTGGGCAGAATTTTATTCGAATAATACATAGTGAAAAGCAGCAGTATCTAAGATCGCCATCCTGACCTTCAAATACTTAATGAGATTACATAAATGTTTGCCAAGTGACTTCTCAATGAAGGAGAACTATTATTTTGTTATAAAAATTAAAATTTCCACGTTTAATCGATTAAAAATCGACCAAGCAGTTTTTTGTCTTTTATTCGAGACTCTTTATCTAGATAATGAACTTTCCCATCTCTGCTTCCGGGGTTAGGGGTCGCAGGCATCCTAAATAATTGCCCGCGGCCAACGATTCACCGGGGTGAACTACTACATGAACTATACATACTATCATAAACGACGGTACATTCTTGTCCATTTTTAAAACTTACACCCATGCCCTGAAGCGGTCAATAATTTTTTCTTGATTTAATTTATTTTTTAATTTCACTAAGTTTCCTTTTCGCCGGGGAAAATGGTAAGTTACAGCCAAACATCCAGCAACATATTTAACTTTTATTTTTTCTACGGGAAATTTCCATAGTGTAAATTTCTATAACTGTTTAAATAATTATGACTTGTTATATCAATTTAAAAGCATTAAATAGTGCAACAAATATAAAAACACTGGTTTTTCTCAACCTATCTATTGAAACATTGTTGATCATATGGATACTCGACCTAGTTTCAGTAGTTTAATTTTCTGCCACTAGTTGGCGTATCAAAATTCTGACTTTCCCAATAGCTCCTCCTCGATTTGCCTCTTTCGGCTGGCAGAGGTTTTGTCGTATCCGGTATCTGGTCGAATGGTGGTAGAAGAAGCACGACCCACACCGCCAGGCACCGAATGGCACCAATCGATATGTATATGGCGAACCTGGGCTTCTCGGAGCGAGGATATCGCCCTTCGAATACACTGGCGTCCGAACTTTTCTACGACTTCGTGCACACGACTTGAAATCGGCGGATCGTTCCCCCCGTCTGGCCGACCGCGAAATCGTAAAGGATCGCCTCCTCGTCGACCGGAAATGAGAAGGAGGAGGTTTCGTCGAGTCTTCCGGGGTAAATCGATCCTGTCGCGATAATTATTGACTTCTGTAACTTTACGATTATGACGGCGATCGTTTCTTGCTTCGAGAAATGCTGACGAATCCCGTGGAAGATTACGCAAAATCAATTAAAAGACGCAAGAGAGTCACGGGATAGATATAGAAATGAGCTCCGTGATTAACGGCGATGTGCTCGTCGAATGTTTATTTAAGCTGGCGGATTCGCGAGCGAGATTTACGAGACCTACGTTAAGAAATTATTTCTTGCTTTGTGTGTTATGCTGTATACCTTTGGAGGATAGTCTCCTATGAAAACGAATCACTTTGAGTTAGACTTCGAATTTTTAGGATTTTTTCACAAGCACGATACTGTGTGTGACATACCGAAATGAAAACTGTAATAATCAAAGATTAACTGAATTTTTAATTATACAGTAATTTAGTGAATTTTTTAATGAACATAGTGAACTTTTCTATACTTCTGGTTCTGCTGAAATATTTCATGGAAATGGGGCACTTAGTTAAACATCCGCAATCTTCCTCATGACGTTCGTGAATTAATTTGAGCATTACTCGATTTTTACTTGCATGTATATTTATCTTGGTTGTTTATTTATTATATTAGACTTCTATTCGTTGTCATTGGTCGTTGTATATACATTTGTTTTTATAAGCAACGCAGTGGGGGGTCTAGGGGGGCTGTAGCCCTAGATCCCACATTCTAAGGGGGGCCTCGTTCTGAACCTTCCATTTCGTTATGATTAAATGTTATTTAATTTTATTTAAAATAAATTTCAATTTTTGAAGATTTATGTATTTTGTTGTGCCCTATTACAAAAATCCCCGTCACCCCCTTGCGCTTTTCAAGGGGCCCCCGAAAATCTGATAACCCTGGGCCACAGAAAATCTTATCCGAGCCTGAATACATACGGACCTTTCTACATCAACTTGCATACGCATCCGATGCCGAACATTCTCTCAACTTTTTTAAATCCCGCATCCAGACAATCAGTTTGCTCACGAATCACACGGAACGACCTCGAAAGTTCAACGTACGAACCGACAACGGCGCAGAGGCTACACGTTTTAACAACCCTCTGAGAATCCCGCAGCTGGACTAACAGTCGCGACGAGATAAACCACCGCGACGGGTACAATTCGATCTTCCGCGTCGATAGTAATAACAATTAGCTGGGTTGAACAGACGGGCAAAAGTTTGCTCGTTCCAAAAATTTTCCAGTCGTTCTCGATCACGTGTCCCGGACGGACGCGATATCGAGTTTGGAACTCGGTTCCCGTAATTGCCCGGCATCAGGAAGCTCCGTGACGATGGAATCCATCGAATCCGCCGAACTTTTCTTGCATAAATCAGTCCCTCGTAAATTCCAAATCGACGAATACATACCGAAGTTCGTTGCACCCGTCGAACCTTTCCTGTCGTCGTTGATAACATAGACATAGAAATATATAGGGTGTAACAAAAATGTTGGAGGATCCGAAAATGGAAGATTCGTGAGGTGATTTGAAACAACATTTTCCTTAGCGAAAATGTACGAGACTTTGTTAGGTACGCGCTGCGATTGGTAGCCAACGCTACCGCGGATGCTCGGCAAGAAGAGTCGCGCTCTGATTGGTCGGGGTTTTTCGTTAATATCTCGTTAACAAAGTCTCGGATAACATTTTTCCTAAGGAAAAACTTGTTTCAAATTACCTCACGAGTCTCCCATTTTCGGGTCATCCAACATGTTTGTTACACCCTGCGCATCTCCCTGAAACATGCATCCCAAGTTTAGAAAGAGGTAAATAGCTTTAGAAGGAGTTAGCGTCTCTTTTTAAATCTAAGTAGTGGCCTGACGCTCAGTCTATATTTCTATGTCTATGGTTGATAAACATCACGAACCTACAGAAACAATTGTTCAACAGATCAATAATAACGATTAAGAAGTCTCGGTTCAATACAAATTCCACCGTCGTAATCATATGATTCTCTAATCGTCTGACCTTACCACGAACTCTCTTGGTCTAGTAGCGCCAGACGATCCCTGACTGAGACAAATTGTCAAATCGGTTAACATGTTCGCGATCGTGGAGTTTGAACCGTGTCAGAATCGTCGACGGAAACACGCGAACTGGACTAAACCGCTCGGTTACCATATCTAAACGAGTTTTTGCAGACAATCGTTCCGTGGGTCATTGAAGTCTCCACTTCCTTCCCTCGCGTCTCCTCCCTCTTTTCTCACGTTATCCTGTTCGGCGATAACAGCACTAGTAGGATGCAGACAGCAGCCGTAGGTTTCGTTGTCTTCTGTGATAGTTTCCACTGCTCCTCCGTTAATCGTCGTTGTTCTCGTCTTATTTCCACTCTCATACAGCGTGGACAAAGTCGAAATTGTGTCGCGGCATTTCTGCGAGAACTCTGCGCGGAGTTTCCCTAAGTCGTTTTTCTTTTTTTTTTTTTTATTAGATAACACCGAACACAGAGATGGTGTGCAAAATCACTAACAGTGATCGTACAATGATGATCACGGTCGTGATTTAACTTCATTCGCAATGTGTGATTTTTTTTATCTTAAGGGAATTTGCTCACTGTGATCGTAATTCTTGGTCTTTGAAAAAGAGAACATACTCGATATGATGTGAATATGAATTACATTACTATTTGTGTTTTTAAAATCGGTAGAAAAATAATTATGAAATAGTGATTTGCCATAATTATACAACATATATGTTATGTAATATATAGATTAGAATTTATAATCATTAATTTGTTCATTCCCAGATAGCACATGACGCCTTGAAGACGTCCATTTTACGGCTATTTTAGGTCCAAGGCGTCTTTAAGCCGTCCTCAAGGCGCCTTAGACCTAGAATAGTCGTGAACTAGGCGTTTTCAAGGCGTTATGTACTATTTGGGGTTAATTCTTGCTGTTTCCGGCGTCTTTTTTTTCCTCCCGTTGGGAGAACACGCATTGGTATCGCTGCTTCTCGTTTTTGCAATAATGCCTCTACGACGGATTTGCGATCGCATTTTCGTTCGTGACGTGTCCAACGCTCAAGAAACGGGATCTCGCGAATTCACGGCGAAGAATTTCACCGGTTTGATATCGATCGACCGCAACGCCGATAAGTGCATCCGAATGGGCACGTAGCGTGAGGGAATTCGGGCTACACCGGTATTCACGGTCACATAGTTTCGCGAAGGGACGCCTGTACTCGTCCTTGACCATGCCCGGGACGAGCCGCGATTAAACGCTTCGAATACCGAATTGATTCATAGTTCCGACCCCCGTCTCGTTGAACTTCCCCGACTCGAAATCAATTTGCACCTCGCCAGGAAGAGCGAGATCGCGCGGGCTTTCGGGTCGACTTCAATGAACTTCGAAATTCCTTCGTTCCTTGATCGAGCGTGACTGGAAACGCGGAGCTATTTCATAGACGGTCGAACGTCTGGGTTAGATTAGTATTTT